CTTGCTACGAAAGAACCCGCAAATCATGTCTTCTTGCTACCAAATACCTAGACATCCAAATCCTAGCCAAAACCCTGAAACCGAAGCCTTTTGCCCTCAACCGAGCGTGAAAGGGTGCAGCTTACAAGATCTCTGATCGACCAGAAATACAACAAGTGCAGTTTCCGACACGAAGCCATAAGCTTTGTTTGAGAGCGTAAGACCTATCAAACAGCTGCTGCTGCCACTACTCCTCCTCCTGCTCCTGCTCCTGCTCCTGCTCTTGCTCTCACTACTGCTTTGTTTCTATATACTACGAGGATGAGAGCGAGGACGAGGACGAGGACCATAACGTCGACGACTAGGCAATAGAAGATGATTCAGAAAATCAGAATCATGAAGGATGGCAACAAGAGAACCATTCGAAGAATTCCAATACCCGTGTAGGAATGACAGTCAGCACAGTCAACAACATCCCCCGATCCACAAAGCCTCTAAAGCCCAAACCCCATTTCCCTTCACCTTAAAACTGCTCTCCAAAGAGGTCTCTAGACTCCAAACCCTATAAACCCTACATCCTCAAACCCTCCAATCCTAAAGCCTAAATCCCAAACCCTGAGCTCCCCCAACTCTCCAAGCGGCCCAGGGATCTTTCCCGTCTTCCGGGAAGTCCATTTCCTCCTCTTTGGGGCTTTCTGGCGATTCGCTCCTGAACTCCACCTGCCAGGGTTCAGGGCGCTTAGGGTTTAGGGCCTAAAGGGGTTTCGGCTTTAGGGGCTTCGGGGAATGTGGGCTTCATCGCTTGTTTGTTGGATCTGGGGGTTTTAAGTGGGTTGGGGCCTGAGGCGCTTGCCTAAAACCGTACGAGATCGACAGGCCTCAGTACAGACAAAAGGGTCCACAGAGAACTAGGTGCTTAGGATTCAGGGTTGCGGGAATGGAGTGTCGGACGCAAGGGTTAAAGTTCAGGGTTTCGCGTTCACGATCTGGAGTTCAAGGGCTCTACGGGCATACTGAAGACCACGAACCCTGGGAGTGAGTGGCAGACCACAGCAGCCGAGCATCACACATGACACAATATAAACCCTAAGCCCATCCTAAACCATAATCCTATCCTAAAGCCTAAACAGCGGATTAAACCTTGAACTCGAAACCCAGAGCCACTCGAAACCCTTAATCCCAAATCTTCCCCAAACCCTCGGCGCCGTTCCTGTCCGCCCCACCTCCGTAAAGGCCTTCCCAAGCCCAAAGACGATACCGAGCACCGTCCCGACAATGATGGTCACGGTCATGAGATAACCTTAAGAGCCAAGAAGCCTTAGGAGCACCTGAAAACAGAAACTTTTAAAGGCAATCATTCTATTCTGGTGTCGGAGTTCATGCTGTTCCGCGAGCTAACCCTTTGCTTGGGCTTAAGGATTTCAGATCTCGAGCCTTGTTCTTATGAGTTTAGGGTGTAGGGTTGACTTCAACTCTAGACCATGTCCCTCAACCATCAAACAGGTTTTTGGGCTTTTGGATTTGGGGCTTAGGGGTCGGGAGCTTTGGTGGTGTTTAGGTTTGAGGTTGTTGCTTCGGTTCCTAAACCCTAACCCTGAAACAAAGTCAAACCTCTTTTGAAGGATGTTTGGGCTTTCTTGTAGCCCCCTATTTGTGATTTCACAGGGCTTTGTAGCTGCTGTCTAGAAGGATCCTCCCATTGAGTCTTCACAAGGGCCCTTGTTTGCTGAAACTCCGCTGTAGAATTTCGGTCGCATGCTGCTCACCCCAAAGAAGTGAAGCTTCCGGCACGGCGAGGCAGAACCAAGAGGTTTGGAGCTTGGGGTTCTCAAACTTTCAGAGGCCTACCATGCGCATGATGTGCGGCTCTTATGCTTGAGTGAGAAGCAATAGCACACAAACGGATCGATCTGCCGCTTGTCACGAGTTACTTCAGTTACTTGGCTCAAGACCAGAACTACCTACAAATTTGTGCCTCAGGCAATGGTCACGCAGGAGCAGCAAACCACACATCTACGCCGCAAATCCATGCGAGGAGGCAACTTCGAATGCGACGAGCATATCGGTCAGTGAATACAGCGAATGTCGAACCATCAAATCTCTGAAGCACAGGCCAAAGGAATTTACAGACCACTGAGTGCAGGGACGTCCAGAATCTACCCACAGGGCTGTGGTTGTGAACACAAAAAACTCCACGTTGCTTGTTTCTTGAGGGTTGCGGGTTTAGAGTCTGGGACTCTCAAGGACCGTAGACGAATAGAAGCAAGCCCCCCACCCCTCCCCCCTCGCCAATGGGTGAAAGTGCGGCCCTGCGGCTCAGGGTCGATGACGGCCCAAAGTCCAAGCCCAGGCTTCCCTCATAGGAAAGTTGGTTGGCTGCTTTTCTTACAGTTTTTTTTTTTTTTTTGGGGGGGGGGGGGGGAGGGCGTTTCGAGGGTATTGAGGGTTCAGAGGTTGCTGCCTTGTTTTTGGGTTTAGGGCGTTTACGGCTTTTGGGGCTGAGTTCCTGAGGGTGCTACTGTTTTTTTGCACATTCGGGGGGGTTTTATGGAGGCTTGCAGCGGCATTGGGTGTGACGGCCTTCGCACCCCTTGCTTTTCAGACCTCTCCGAGGTGGGTCGCATGCTTTGAGGTTTGGAAAATCTTGATGGCGGGGGGAGGGGGAGCGTGTGTGTTTTAGGCTTCTGGATGGTTGAAGTCAAAACCAAAAGCTTGAAAGCACACACACACACACACATTCACACACTCCAAAGCCCCTAAATGCCAATCGTCTGAGCCTAAGCCCTAGACCTCGAAGCTTAGACTCTGCTCCAAGCCCTAAGCCCCTAAACCGAAAGCCAAGCTCTTCTAAACAGACAAAGCCCCACACCCTAGCCCCTCTTTTGGGATCCTTTGAAAGACGGTACCTTAACGACTCGGCATAAATCCTCACACGGCTAAGCCTTAACCCCCTAAACCCTAAGCCCCAAATCCTCAATCCTAACCCCATTCTGGCCTCTTCTGAGTGCTTTGCAGTGAAGAGGAGGAGACCAAATACCAAGCTGGCCGGATTCAAGCGCAGCTTTTTTTGGGTTTCTTGAAAGGCGTCCCCTCTTCCGAGGGTTCTTACAAGTGATCTAAACGGGTTCTCTACTGGGATGTCAGGCTTGAATTTTAGGGTTTGGGATCTAGGGCTCAAGGCTTTCAGGTCTCAAGGCACAGAGTTTCATGGGGGTTTCCGGGTTAAGGTGATTTTTTTGAAGTTCGGGCTTGAGCACGTATTGGCTTTGCAGCTCTTATCGGTGTCGAGTCTCAGCTTCTTGATGGGGGGTTCGACTCGTTTTGGTGCGGGGTGTAGTGTTTTGGTTCGAAAGCGAACCATGCTCATAGCAACCATTGTATTGGGTTTAGGGGGTTCAGGGTTTCGGGGTTCAGTGTGAGAAAACATTACTTCGGAAAATCACAAAAGCCACCACGGGAACAATCACAAACGAGAAGTGGTGATGACATGGAAGTTTCAGAAATGATGAATCCCCAATACATACCCTAAACAGTATAGGCTCCTGATTCTAAGGACTCCCAGAAACCTATAGCCCCCTCAAGCACTTGAACCCTTAGACTCATTATAAAGCTCATGTGCTCAACAACGTTTTGGGTTTTTAGCATCGTAAGCATGCGAAAATCGTTGCCACGGAGAACCAAGAAAATGGTGCCCCCCCCCCCCCCCCCCGAGTTTTCTGAAACCAAGAACTGAAGGGCTTTCTGCGCCCAAGGCCTGCCTGCAGACGACCAGGGACTCGCTTTTCGAATTTCGGGCAACTGAAGGACTTTGCTGGGGCTTCTCGGGATTAAGCTTTAAGGTTTTAGGGTGTACTTAGTGCTTAGGGGGTAGGTGGGTTTACGGCCCTTGCGGGTTATGGGGCTTTCTCGGGGTTCGGGTCTGAGATGCCCCTTGCAAAACCCTTTTCTTTAAATCGGAATACACCTGAAACCTCATTGCAAGAATCCCTCCAAAAGCTCTGGTAGCTTCGCGAAATTTCAAGGTCCTGGAGTTTGAACAATTTGCCTTACACCATAGAGCAGCCGGCCCCAAACACCCGAAACCCTAAACCCTATCAGCCCTAACCCCGCAGCTCGCGTCAACTGCCTCAGGAAGAGCATCCGCTGAGCCGTCTCGGCCGCTGCTCCCGCGCTGGCGTTGGCGTAGGGCTGATAGTCGCGCCTCGCGACGTGTCTGCGCGCGGCTTCAAAAAGTTTAGGGGATTCGGGGATAGGTTTGCGGACACGGATGGTGTGGATGATGATTGCGCTGGGTGATGAGCATTACGACGGTGGGATGGCGCTGGAGCTACTGCTCTGGTGCATCGTGGCAAGCTGCTCGCGGTTCTTTTCGCTGGCATCGTCATCATCATCATCATCATCATCCTCATCATCATCATCCTCATCCTCATCCGTCTCCTCCGCTGCTCCCGTGTGACATTCCTACAAAAGCTTCTTCATCTTGCTAAACAACCCTTTGCTTCTACGACTGTTTCTTGGTGCAGTTTGGGTTTAGGGGAATGCCTTAGTTGGATCCTAACCTCATGTCTAGCTCCTCAACTGAATGGAATCTGCTCAGGGCCGTGTTCCACGCCCTGGAGCACCGTCCTCAATCCTCGGACTCAACCCGTAGTGGGGTGATCGAGGACCCTTACCAGCCGCAATGGATTGTTGGTGTATGCTGTGATCAAATTTACATACTGACCGCGAGGTGATACTAATGCTATTTCTTCCGCCCCCGAAAAAGACTTCTTCAGGGACCCCATCGAAACTGCAAACCCTTAACAAGCACTCCAGGCCCTACAGCCCTTATCCCACATAGATCCTTGAAAGGAACAACGAATCCCTAAAAGGAACCCTTCCAGGGAACCCTTAAGGGGAATCCTTCAAAGGAACCTTCAAAGGGAACCCTTCAAGCGAACCCTTAAAGGGAACCTTTCAAAGGGAACCCTTAAAAGGGACCGTCAACGGGAACCCTTCAAGGGAACCCTAAAAGGGAGCCCTCAACGGCTGGAGCCCAGCTGCAGAATCTTCAGCGTCAGCTGACAGGCAAGGATGCCGATGACGATTTGCATCCAAGAGCCCGGGATGCAAAACCTGGGCATCTGGTCAGGGTTTGGGGTTTGGGGTTTGGGGTTTGGGGTTTGGGGTTTGGGGTTTGGGGTTTAGGGTTTAGGGTTTAGCTTCTGCAGGTTGAGGGCTGAGAGTTGAGGGTGTTGGAACTTCGCTTAACCTACCATAGAGCATCAAACCCTAGCCCCAAAGCATACAGCCCTACTGTGCATGCCCATGATTGTGGCGTGAACTAAACTCAGTTGGCTAAGAACCCACACGAAGCCCTGCAAAAATCCGGGCAAATACCAACAACCCCCCCGAAACCCCAAAAAGAAGGCCTTAGTTTTGATCCTACCAAACCCTTCTACGGCCTTTTGAAATCATTAAGTTCTGCCTAAACCCGAAATCCCAACCAAAACACCTTCAGCCTATGATGGTAGCTTGATCTAAGCTAAACCCTAAACCCTAAACCTTAAACCCTAAACCCTAAACCCTAAACTGCTTAAACCAACCCAAAGAAACGCCAAGACGGCGCTGAGGAAGACCTTCCGCATGCTCTCGAAAACCTCATGGTGCAGGGGTGAAAGGTTTTCACAGGGCTTGGTGGCGGTTCGACAAGGATGTTCTTACAGGATGTAGGGTTCGAGCTTCAGGGTTTCTGATCTAAGCCATAGGTCAAGATGCGAAAGATGATGGTGGTTGGAAGAAACTCGAGATGCAAAAGAAGATGCACGTCCCTCTTCTGATGAGGGCTGTAAGGGAGGACCCAAACTGAACCTCTTCTAAGAAACCCTGAACCCGAAACTTCTGAAACATCCCTGAGGAGCTCTTCGAAACACCTCAAACACTGCCCTCGAAGATCTGCGCGCCTCGAAATACAAGCAGCTCGGCTTGTAGTCGTCGTAGATGAAGATGAGATGCCTTTTGAAACAGCAAAGGGCTTTCTTACCCAGTCTACAGAAAAATCGTCATAATAGGCTTCAGGTGCGTTTTTGGATCGCCCCTCAGCCCTCTTAACCAGGCTCTCAGGATTTCGGGCCCTTCTTCGATCAAGGGTGTGGGGCCCGAAACCATAAGGGGCTCCTCTCCAAGCACCTTGAGCCTCGATTAAAGGGGGATTATAGTGCGGGTTTAAGGATCAGGGCTTAGTCAGTGTGCGGGTTTAAGGATCAGGGCTTAGTTTAGGGCTTGCGATTCAAGACTTAAGGCGTTTACGGGGTCTCATTCCCCTAGACCCCAAGACCCGACACCCAAACCCGAATTTTTTGGGGTTTAGGTCTTGGTGTCATAATTACACTATAATACTACAATGACCCCCAAAAATCCTTATTCTAGTTATTCAGCGCCCTTGCTTAGAGGGCTTCCTTCCAGCAAGGGGCTGGATGGACGAGTCGTCCTCTCGCTTCTTCATACCGGCCCAGTCCTTGCTGTCCTTGGACAGGAATCCTCGGCTGCGACGTAAGCTTATATATATATATTCCTAAAAGTAGCTTATATATATATATATACCTTAAAGTTATGTGTAACCCCCCCAATAATTGCCAATACTACGCTTTTTGGGTTTTGGTGTCGGTATGGAATGTAGAGTACACGTAGGCTTCAGGGGGTTCTGGCATGGGAGAAATTCTGCGATGAATTATTTTAGGCCGCACCCGACCCTTCGCGGAAGCATCATAATGGTTCCTCTTGTCACCACTACCATATCTGATGCCGTGTCTACAACGGACATGACGGTGTGGACATTGTCTAGCGTGTTAAGTTGTAGTGCGCCAGGGTACCCAAAGCCTCCAAACTAACCAAAGGAACAGACCTCAACTTGAAAAATTGAACAAATGCTGAACTAAGGGATGTTTAGAATCTTTGGCTAAGGCTACCCTAACACCCTTGACCCTGAAGCCCCACAAAGCCCTTATAGAACCCTTACGAAGCTTCCAAAATCCTGACCACATCCCGGAAAAAAAAAACAAAAAACTTTCGGTCTACGTTGGAGGCCGCTGCTCAGTACCAAGGCTCCGCGGTATTGCCGACCGGTTTCCAAGGAGACGAGCCTGAGCACCTCGGGTTTTTTTGGAGCATCGTTCAGGAGGGGCACTTGAGGGGCTGCTCAGTGGGCTTTTGGTGGGGTTTCATAGAGTTTAGGATCCCAGATGATGCTTTTCGAAGAGTTCTAGCAGGCTTTTGTCAGGCTCCGATCAGGCTTTTGTAAGTGTCCAATGAGGGCTCTCGATACATTACCGAAAACTGGTTCTATCGGGTTTCATGTGCTTTTCTTTTAGCCAAACTTGGGTTTATTGGGTTTAGGCTGTGGAGGGCTTCGTAGCAGCATTGAGGTTTGAGGTTTTGAGGGATCGCTCCGCGCAAGGCATAACGGGTTGAGAGGTTGAGGTTCTAGGGGCTTGGGGGTGTAGGGGGGGTTTAGGAATTCAGGGCCCAGGCTTGGGGTGCTCGTGAGACGGGGCTCTTCTTCAAGAGGAAGTCATCGTGGGGAAGCCACAGTTCAAACAGTGCACAAATCAACGGTCCGAAGTGGGTCCTGCACAAGCAGACCTAGGTCTTCGGGCTCTGACCAAAATGCAAAAGCCTTCAACCTGTAGAATCCTAACGCCTGTCCACGTGAACAAACCCTAAGCCATCAAACCCTGACTCCGATTTGCTTTTAGTCGCTAACCTTAAAACTTAACAACTCTAAACCCTAAAGACCCTAAAGCCCTAAACTCTACAACTCGTGAATCACTGAACGCTGAAACATGGTGCGTCGTGATGTGCTAAGTTATGTTATGACTGTGCAGCCGTTCAGCGAGATGCTGCGTCGAATGAAGCGGATGGTATGGGGCTTTATTTCTAGTACTCCCAGTACAAAGCCGCAAATGTAAATCCACCACCTTGCAAAAGGTGCCCTCAGACACTGGCCACAATCCTCATCATACGAGCCATGCAGGCCCCTATGTAACCGTTGACGAGCCCTTGCAGCAAGTTCTTAGTCTAACATAGGGGCCTCAAAAAAATGAATAGGGTTTGGGGCCACTATAGTACACTTATACAGGATCCATAAGGCAATACTATTCGTATTTATTCCAGCCCCTACATGGATTATAAGGACTACTCTTGCGGGTCATATGGGGGTTTACGAAAATACGGGACCCCTAAATAGGCTCCCAACTAGTAGGATTCCCTGATGAAAGGGCCCCAATAAGGTACCCCATTAATTCGGAAACCCCCATAAACTGTCCCTTTGTAGATGTACTACAATCGCACCCAAAAAACCTATTCTAATGATAAAGGCCCCTAGATTCCGCGAAAACCCCAAAACCCTATTCTCATTATCAAGGCCCCTATATTCCTCTAAAATTATGCTGTCCCAGTCACCGGATCGGAGTTTTCCGCAGCTGGCGCATTGGTCTCCAACTGATTCCCGAGGAGGCTGCCTTTGGTCTTCGTGAGCGTCTTTTTCAGCTTTGCTCGCATGCCTGGGCAGGATTCAAGGGGTTTTTAGGCGGTGCAAGGGGCTTAGGTTGGGACGTTCCCCCTACATCTAGGGTGTTGGTACGCACTGGAAGGACAGGCCGGTATCAACGAAACTGCAATCGCGAGCAGTTCAGGTAGTTAGACCCTAAAGAACCTAAGATTCCCCACCTCATATAGAATCACAGACACATGACTCAATAATTTTGAGTGGCCCCTCTTCTCAGGGGCTGTGGCTTTAGGGCTTTTCTAATCCCTTTTAACGCACGTGGGTACTACGGTATATCAATCAGAAGAAGTCTACATGACGCATGATGTAGATGCCCGAAGAATGAGACCTGTTTTGCTTCTTGTTTGGGGGGGGTATATTACAATACATTATACTGTTATCGAACTCCAAGGAATGTTCTTACTACTCATTCCGGCACGTACATTGTGCCGCATGTATCGGGTTTCGGAAGAGTTTGAGTCTAGGGATCCTGAAGGCACGGATCCTATTACGTAGGGTCTGTCTGTGTTTGCTAATGGTAAGGATCCTTCACTTGCATAAGGTCTGGTGGGGCTTGTTGGGGTTTAGGGTTGCGGGATCCTATCCTAGTGGAGAGGATCCTCTGAACGACCTAAAGCCTTGTAAACCTACTCCAGAATCCGAATAGTAATTCGAGAAGGGCTTTGGGGCATATTATCGTAGATTTCTATTCAGCAACCCAACATCCTTTCCTGCAGGTCCCAAAGACGACCCCTGGAAGACTCCTCGCTAGGGCCACGCTCCTAACAGTGGTTTGCCGGCCTGATGCAACCATGGTTTGGGCTTTTTCAATTTATACATATATATATAGGTTTTTCCACATACGTATATGTGCGTATATATGGTTATGTTCCTGATTCCTACCTGGTGCGTGAATGAACAATACAGCCCAAAACCCGAAACTCTGGACCTTTATCCGGACGCAGGTCACAAAGTGAAGGTGAACCCCGACACGCCGCAACGCGCGCCCTGCATGGTTCTGGGAGCATGAGTAGAGGGTTGTGGTTGGGGATCCTCACTCCCATTCATATTGTGATCCCGAACCCGCAAGCCAAAACCGCAGATCCCAACAAACCCGAAACCAAAGATCCGCAACCCACCCCCGAAAGAACAACAAAGCAACTAAACTACACACGACATTCCGAGGACTAGGAGCCAGTTTTTTTTGCCCAAGCACCAAGCTGAAAAGAAAACAAACGTAACCCTAAACCCAAGCTTTTAAACCCTAAACCATAAAACCAGACTCATAGAAGACGGGGAGCTCATTCCAGCGGACAGCTCCTCCCATTCTGCTTGAGCCCGGGACATCTCGTAGAAGTTCACCGGAGGAGCGATGCCCCCTGATGGTCGCTTGGGGCTTGGGGCTTGGGGTGAGGGTTTAGGGTTCAGGGCCTTCAGGGTTTAGGCAGGGCTTTCGCGATTCTGAGGATGTTGTGAGTCGGGGGTCTTGTAACCGAATACGGGTTTGGGGGTTACTTCGTCGGAAGAAAGATGAGTCGCAAAAAACAGGCCTTGTCCGTCACACGATGCATCCGGGCTTGCAGTTTGTTGAGATCAACACCACACCCCGTTTTTGCATTTAGGCTTTCTGTGCTTTGGGTCCTTGAGAGGTTCTGCGCAGATGGGTTTCAGTCTTGGCGGGGGTGCCCACCCCATGCGTCCAATGCGTTCAGAAACCAGCGAGTGCACAGTCCCCAGTCTAAAGCCCGAAAGCCTGGAATCCAGCGCCTAAACCCAGACCCTACACCCTGGAGCACCATGTACCTATGTCCAGCAAAACTCTTGCCATTGCTGAACTTCTCAGAGTGCAGCAGGCATGCCCTACAAGGTATAGTTCAAGGGCACAGGGTTTCGGGCTTGCGATTCAGCGTACAAAGTGCAGAACGCTGGGGCGTAGGGCTTGGGGTTTAAAGTTTGGGCTGCCGCTTCTGGGTCCAGGGAGTCGTGCCTCTGTGTCGGTACAGACTGGCAGCCATCCAAATGGGAATGCCAATCGGGTACACAAGAGCCATGACCTCGCTGGCCGTAAGATCTCAAGCCCCCAAAAAAGTATGCTGCCTAAACCCCCAAACCCTACACCCCAAAACCCTAACCCCAAAACCCCAAACCCCCAACCCAAGGATTTGCAAGTCATGGGCCCAGCCCGAGGTTCAGGCCAGCTGGGTAAGCGCAGCCTAGTGCTTAAGGGTTTTTCGCGTTGAGCGTGTGGGATTTAAGTTGAAGGGTGTAATCGAAAAACGCTCGGACAAGCCAGGCGAGGCACACAGGTGTTGGGGTTTAGGGCTTAGGGGAAATGGAAGATTTGACTTTGTGCGCGGCAGTACTTGCGGAACGACAAAGTTCGCGTTACAGCCATCAGAATGCCATAGTAAAAATCTCTGCGTCAGAAGGCAACAGGCCAGACTGCAAGAACGAAGGACGAGCACATCACAGGAAGAAGTTGTGGGACGACCCAATTCCTTATAATCGTAACTGACTCATAGCGCGCTCGTACCAAGACCAGAGGATACTTAATTACTCAGCCCATGGTTTGTGATTCAACGTTGTTTTGACGGTTTTGACGATTTTGGGAAGAGGGTACCTGAAGCTGGAAGATCCCCCAACACATTGCCGAGTCGCGCCAGCATAAATCTGGAAATTGAGATGGGTGTCCTTCATCCAGCAGAATGCTCCAACCCAAAAGAGTGTACTGGACTCGTTTTGAGGCTGAGGGTGGAGCCAACCAAACCCCTCAAAACGCGACTAAACCCCTAAACCCCCCGCCCCTCCCCTCCCCACAACACTCTCGTTTAAAATAAGCTACAAATCCCGACAACAAGCCTTTCTAACACCCCTAGAAACCCTCCACACCGCCGCCGCACCCCCCCCCCTCCCCCTAAAAAAGCCCGGAGCTCCGTGTCGCAGTCGAGCCGAAGATCTGAGGCCAGGAAGTTCCGACGATTCCCAGCGCCTTCCCCAAATCTCTCTCTCTCTCTCTCTCTCTCTCTCTCTCTCTCCAAAACTCCAAAGTTTAGTGCTCGGAAGGTTGAGCGGTGTTGGGATTTAGAGGTGTTGGGCTTTGGGGGTTCGGGCTTAAGGGGTTTATGGCGTTTCAGGGGGTTGGGTTTCGGGGTTTAGGATTCAAGGTTCCGTTAATCGTTCTAATACAACAACCTAAGCTCTAATTGCACACTGTGGAACCTACGCCTGTAAGGCGCCTTGCCACGGTTTCCTGTATGTCCCCACAAGTGGAGGGTTTCAGCGCCTCGGATGCTTTGGGTGCCGAGGTTAGGGGACGTCTCATATGCGAATTGGGACTTGGGAGCATTTGTGGCCCAAGCCCTAATTGCGTTGACCGTAAATCCTGCACCGATAATACTCAAGCTAAAGGCCAGAGCTGTAAGGTGACGCACTAAGCCCTGAGCGCTTGTAGCCCTGAATGCGAAGCGTCTTTAAGGTCGATGGGTGTAGAGTTTGCAGTACTACTCCTTAAGGGTTCTGTTGACCCGAAACCCTGGAAGCAGAAGAAGAGTCAGAGTACAGAAAACTAACGATCATTGTCCGTCACAACTAAAGATAGTGGCACTATGAATGCTGCCCATAAATTGGCCTAATACAATGCCCATATCGCCCATACCCATTTCATTCTTGCTGTAGACTGAAATTAAAGATTGCCCTAAAATCTTGAGCCCAAACAACCCACCGCCCGGCCCAGCCTGCATCAAATGCTTCGCATTTGAAGGTGTCAAATATAGTGTTCCTTGTTTAGGGTTTAGCGAACGTTCAGTGTTTAGGGCCAAGGGAGTTTCGACTTTGGAGCTATGTTTCGTTGGTCCTTTGGTCTTTGTAGAGAGTGCCATAGTGGCTTTGTATAGAGTTCCAGAAGTGGTTAGCGCGTTTCATACGGGTTCTGTAAGTTCTGTAGGACTTTACAGAGTTGAGGTCTGAGGCGCCTTTTTCACATGCAGGGCTCAGGCTTCGTAGTGCACGGGCTGATCTTTGTCCCCTAGACTTTCGGTAAGACGATTACATCCCTAAGCCCCTAGCCCAACCCCTGAATTCCCAAATGCTCAACCCCTAAACTCTCCTTTTAGGACATGATCAAGTTATATCCGCGCGAACCCAGGACCATGAACCCTAAACCCCCAAATCCAAAGCCCTTGGACCTTAAAATCCATTTAGGCTCGACGTGACCGGCAGGGAAAGGTATGCCACAAGCAGGGCAGCACCGATATATCCTGAGACGGTCTCTCCCCGATCCTCTGCCTTCCACGGGAGGGTTTGGGCTTCAGGGTTTAGGGTTTAGGTTTTTTCGAAGTTCGATTAACGCGGACTGTAGAGGTTGGGTTTACGGCTCAGGGTTTGGTGTTGCGGAACTGGGGCTTGAAGGTGTAAGCAACGCTTGGGTTTGCCGTCAACCGTGTACGAGGGTGTTCCATGACTTCCTGATGTACAGGATTTGAGGAGAAAGCTGTGTCGTGCGGGCGCAGCATGGCCGTGATCCTTCGATCAAGGGATGGTCCAAACGCCCAAAAAACCACCAGAATCAAGACAAATACGTACCGTAAATCATGGCATGAAACCCTCTGCAAGGGAGGTGTGCTCCTTAGTCAGTCAAGGGTTTTGGAGTCTCTGGGTAGGGTTGTGTAGCAAAGTGGCCTTAAATGATCTGAAAAGAGCTTGGGGTCCTGCTATACAAAAGCATAATAGAGAAACGCACAGGACGTGTTGCTAATTATGCAGTATCCTATTCTAGCATCGTTGCACGTGAACTGCTGCAGTCCAAAGGGACTGGAAGGTTCGAGGCAGCACGCCTTTGGTGGGGGCTGAGGTTCTACAATCTACAGGCCTACAATACGGATGCGGGTTCACGAAATTAGAGGTACCTTCTTGGGGGGGTCCGTACCAGAAGGGATCCGACTCTTTTGGGGTCTCTGTTAGGGGCCACCCCCTATATTCGTAAACCCCCAGACCGAAATTAGGACAGGATTCTGGGCCACCCACAAAGCTCCCGAATCGCCCCTCAGCCCCTGCGAGCCCTAAACCCTAAACCCTAAACCCTAAACCCTAAACCCTAAACCCTAAACCCTAAACCCTAAACCCGAAAGCGCCTTTTGCTGGAGTGTGTGGATGCCGCAAGACAGGCCGAGGACAGCCCACACGATCATCGGCAGCAGGGTGTGCACCAGGAGCCTCTTCTGGTCTGCGACAGTTGAACCCTTGGGGTTTAGGGTTTAGGGTTTAGGGTTTAGGGTTTAGGGTTTAGGGTTTAGGGTTTAGGGTCTTGCTGCAGGTTTAAGCTTTAGGCTTTGGGTTCGATTAGGGTTTATGATTGGAGGTTCAAGTGTCAGGATTTAGGGTGTAAGGTTTGAGGTTGCATGTGACAGACATCTAGGCGATGGCATGGGAGTTTAGGAGGATAAGAGACCCCTCCGAATAGTATTTCAGAACCCAACCCCCTAGTTCTATAAAACACTTTAGCCCTATATGATGCTACAAACTTTGATCCGTATGAACAACATTTTGCTCACAAGCCCTTGGGTGTACATATGAAGAAAGATGAAACATGATTCCTCAGGAACACCTCTGGCATTTGAAAGGGATTTGTTAGGGTGGTGCAAGGAGGCTTTTTGCCGGCTCAGGTGCAGGCTTCAGGAGGCTGGCAGTGTAGGGTTTACGGCTGAGGGCTTTGGGGGTATAGGGTTTACGGGTTGCAGTTTGAAGTTTCCGGGTTTCGGGGAAGTTGCCATGTTGATGTGGGATGCGGAACTCAGGGTTCTGACTTGAGGAGGGTTTCGGAGGACGAACATCCTGACAAAAACCCTCATCTGAAACCATAGTGGACCCCAAACCCAACACCTTGAAGCCAAACCCTGAACGATAATCGCTCACCGGCTCAGCCCCTTTCAACAGCCAGGAGACCGATCATAGAAGGTGTTCGGATGGATGCAATCTGCGTGTAAAACCTTTTCCCAGAAAGGCAGGGAGATGTAGGTGTGGGGGGGGGGCGCTGGTATTTAGGGGTGTCAAGAGGTTCAGGGGCTCAGGGCTCCGGGTTTAGACATCAATTCCAAGCCCTGAGCCCGACTTCGGGTTCTTCGCGCGCGTTTGGGCTTCTGAAGGTGTCTCCGGATTTCGGCGTCGGAGCCGGGTGAACCCAGAGGGCACCCACTTGAGTCCGAGCCTGTGGGGATGATATCGTGCTCTGGATTTTTTCGTGTTTTGGGGGGGCGCGGCTTGCAGCTGGAGGCCACGCGCGTCCCTGAGAAGCAAGACTTAAAAAAGCAACAAGCCCGGAGCTCGCAGAGCCCCAAACTCCCTGAATCTGCGATCGGAAAAGCCATGTCAAGCTCTCTAAACCCGACTCTCGACCCCTCAGAACGCCCCCCTGCATGAGAGAAGCATCAAGAACAGCATGCATGGACAGTACGGACAACACTAACTAGCCTAACTGGACAATATATGCTGCTCTTATATAGCTACTCGTGGCATGTGTTGTTCTCACAGCTCCTTGGCAGTAGCATACCCATCATCATACCATGCTAAGTCCTCAACCCTCAACCCCCCAAACCCGGACCCTTAAGACCCTAAACCTTTAAGACCCTAAACCCTAAACCCTAAACCCTAAACCCTAAACCCTAAACCCGAAGAGCCTGGAAGATGGACAGGTTGAAGATGCCCAGGACATTGAGGAAGGAGAGGAAGATTGAGGGCCATTCGATGAAGGGCAAGACCCCAGGGACCATGTTCATGACCTTGTGGGGGCATTTAGGTCTCTTGGGTTGAGGGTTTTTTGGGTGGGAGGGTTTAGGTTTTCATGACCTTCAGGGCTGAGCCTTTGTTTGTTTATCCGCAGGGGTTTTTTAGGGTTTAGGGTTCTGCGTTTGAGGGTTCAGGGGCAGGCTTCGTAGAGTGGGTTTATACCGGAGTTAGAATTCAAGCTTTATGACAATCATGATCCTGTTCGGGGGGGGGGGGGGGGGGGGGAGCTGAGGGTCTATGCTTGGAGATAGTGTTCCTAAACTCCAAAGACTGTTTGAGGTTTAGGGTTCAGGGCTTACGGTTTAGGGTTTGCCGGTAAACGGGAACCATAAATTGCAGGTTTCTTGGGGTCCCGGGTCGTGTGACCTTGAGGAAGTCGTAGCCAGGCATTGTTTAAGCAATTGGAGGCGGGGAGTAGGGGATGCGAAATCTTTGTGGGTATGTTTAGGACTCGGGGGGGGGGGGGGGTGGCCTAGTTTCAAGAACCTCCTCTAAACCCTTAACCCTAAGCGCGCAACCCTAAACTTGAGGGGTATCTAAACAACCCCCAAGTAACCCCTAAGGTCTTGATAAACCCTCAAAACCGTGAAGCCCTAAACCCTAAACCCTGAAACCCTGAAACCCTGAAAAACCCTCAAAGCCCTAAGCCCTCAGACGGCCTGGAAGAGCGACACGGCGATCTTAATCTTCGTCTTCACCTTTGCGAGGGTCTAGGAGGCTTTTGGGGGTTTGGGGTTTAGGGGCTTGGTACAGGGGAGGTTGTTTACGGGTTTGGGGCTTTCGTGCGGAAACTTGCCTGAGTCGGGGGTTTGGTGCGCGAGGCCAAAAATCACCCGGGACCTGCATCCTAGTGAAAAAACACCTGCTCGGGTAGATGTGTTGTTTTGAAAATGCACCACTGGTTGAGATTGTTCTCGTCTTGCCAGCAAAGACTCGGAAAATTCAGGATGATTTTTCAATCAGCCCCCGAGCCTAAACCCAAGATCTTGAACACACTCAAAGCCTCAAACCCTAAAGCCCTAAACCCGACACTTTGAGAAGAAACAGCTGAGAGCATCCACCATTCGTTAAAGGACTTTGATTAGCCTAAACCCTAAACCCAAAACCGTAAGCCCTTCAAGAACTCGTAAAGGGCCCCTTTATTCAGCAGACCCCCCATGTCCCAAACAAAAACACGGCGAAAGCAAGATCAAGGCCAGAATCCATCATCCCATATAGAGGACCCCTGTTACATTGCAGAGCCATTGCGGAAAAACTGGCCCTTCATGAACGGAGCCCTAGATCCGAAACCCATGACCCTTCTCGAATCCTAACATAAAGCCCTGACGTGGCGGGGACTTAGGATTTTGCATGTTTTTTTTTCGCGAGGCTTGTCTTTGTTGACTCTGCATTTTCATAGAACTTTATAGGGTATCTGCAAGTTGTATAGGTAGTCTGCTTTGGGTGAGCTTGTTACCACGTGCTGTTAAAGGGTTTTATGGGGTGTTGCATGGGTCAATCAACGGCTTTAGGTCTTCTGGGGTTGTTTCGGGTTTAGGGTTCAGGGTTTGGAGTCTCTGGGCACCCTGTAGCCTGGACTCCTAAAGAGATGAGCTTCTCCGCCCTAGGCAAACTCAAGATCATACTGGGGTCGCAGATTTTTCCCGAAACGCCAAAGGCACAACCTCCCGCAACCGACAAACCTCATATCCAGGTGCAGGATTGAAAACGATAGGATGCTGTGTGGAAGACTCCAGCCACACAGGCACCGACCGTACATCCCCATCTTCAGTACGAGTCGCCTCCTTCAACTTTGTTTTGCCATTGAGAGTGGCATGCGCCTGGGTTCTTCAGATCTCGCAAGGTTTTCGTAAGGGCTTCTGCATGTACCGCTTCCGACACGTGGCACTTCCTCTTATGAGCCTCGAAAATACTTGTGGGAACACCTGCCGGCCATACCCTACATAAGAGGGCGGGTTGGGGCGGCTCCGACACTTAGGGCTTAGGGGCTTTTTGGGGTTTGGGGTTTAGGGCTAGGGTTTCGGGGCTTCAGCCTTTTGGGGGCTCGGGGAAGTCGGGTCGGGCTTGCACGGCTTTGGGGCGCCCCCCAAAGATGGCTAAAGAACATTCTGAGACCCTAAACCCTAAAGCCCTAAACCCTACACTTGGGATGTTCCCCCTTATACAAACACTTCTTAACAGGGATTATAGTATTTTCTATTAGAATCACTATTAGGGCCTGCTTGTATAAGGGGGAACATTCGCCACATCCCAACCCTAAACCCTCAACCATTACAGGCCCGGGATTCAAGGGTCCCTTCTCTAAGGACCCCTTTGTAGGGGACCGCTGGTTTCAGACGAGTACCACGTCGCCACCGCTTTTTCTTGACCCCTTTCGAACACCCGGAATCCTCAAACGAAACCTTTGGAATGAAAGAACCCCTGGTCTTGGCGCAGCGTCGAGGACATTCCGGATCTTCCGGCGCAAGCAGATGAAGATGCAGAGCAGCACGACCAACATCAGCGCCAGCAACTGAACCTTGCTTGCCAGGCCACCGATAAACCTTTGCCAGCCTAAATCCCCCAAATTCCCCCCAAAAATCAACTGACAACAACCAAGTTCTCGACACACATACAGCCAGGAACTCCTCCACACCCTCCCCAAAAGAAGGACCTGAAGCTCATGACCCGAAACCACCGTAGAACCGTTTTTATGGCGCCCCTTTAAGGAACCCTAAACCCTAAACCCCTAAAGGAACTTCCCCAAGGGCCCCAGAGCCTCCGAGGAACCGGGCCCAGAAACACCGGCGCAGAGGAGCACGCTCGGCATCGGCCGGTGTCCGGCTCCTTGGGCGTTGATGGGTTTCGGGGCTATTTTCAAGCCTCTCTTTTTTGTTTTTTGTGTTGTTTTGTAAAAGCCGCATTAAGGAACTTCACATTCTAAATTTTCAAATTCGGAAATGACGTGCATGTGGAAAGAAGAAAGGGGGGAAAGGTCCCCCATTTGGTATGTTTTCTAGCCCAATAATAATACCATTAAATTAAGGGGGAATCATTCAGCGCTTTCAAGACCCCTTTTGTCGGGGACTGTTGATTGCATAATCAACAATTCATTTAAAACGCCTTTTAGTGCATATTCTTTTTCGTATTTTCTCCTTACCAAATATTCGCTGTTTGGGGGTTTAGGGGTCACGGTCTAAGGGTTTTAGGGGTTTAGGGATTCGGGCCATAGCTTCGGGTCCCAAAGTTTCGGGTTTGGGGGTTTTGCGTCTTGCGGCTTTAGGGTTTTTCAGGGTTTGGTACTTTGGGTGTTGGAGTTTAGGGTCTGGGGGTTGGCATCTGCCGACTTTTGCGGTGAGTTTCGGAGCTGATGAAGGGCCGTCTGAAGGGGCTTGGGGCTTTCTAGGGCCCTTGCACTGCGTTGCATTCCTTGGTGTTTAATGGTGCAGAGGCACCATGGAGCATGCAAAAGGTCAGCGACTATGTTAAGTGACTGTCAGGAACGGGCCCTTGGTTTGCCATACCAGGGGCACGATGCTTCCCCAAATATAGCCCCTTGAGCTTCCTTAAAGCCCTGCAAAACCCTCATGAAGCTCTTGTACACCCATATAAGACTCTGCTACTCCTCAGAGCTGATACGACCCCCCTGTTGTAGCTTCCCAAGCAAGAGCCTCCCACCCCAAACCGTAAACCGTAAACCGTAAACCGTAAACCGTAAACCCTAAACCCTAAACCCTAAACCCTAAACCCTAAACCCAACCCGAAACAGCAAATGTGGGCCCAAGGTCACGGAAGAACATGTCGGAGCAGCTCTCGCATCTGGGACCCTCATGGCCCTCCGCACAGCCCTCGTCCCCGACGGCGGTACCACCGAGACCTGAGTTGTGATGGGAGTTGTGATGCGATTGTCGAGATGATGAGGCCTTGGACCATCAAAGTGATCTCAGCATCAGAAGGATCAAGGAAAACGATGGCGATGATGGCGATCGCGATGCTGCTGGTGCTGCTGCTGGGGTACCTGCTGCTTTTGCTGGTGGTGCTGGTGGTGCTGCTGATGATGCTGGTTGTCCTGGCGGTGCTGGCGGTGCTGGTAAACACTGATACTCAATTGATAGGCATCTAAGCCTTGCGGGGTCAAAGTCTTGTGATGCTCCACGATTGCGTTGTGACATGTAGCACCAGGACCTAGTCACATCTATCATGGTATGTTCATGATGATGGGTGGGGGTGAGGGTGATGGTGATGGTGATAATGATGATGGTGATGATGCTCCAGCAGTTAGACTCCAAACCGCTCGAACCGCATTCGAGAGACAGGCATCTTCAGTGCTGCACGCATAGACGTCAGTGACATCCCGCGCAAGCCGCCAGTAGCCTAAGGTGCTCACGGGTTAGGATGTATCGATCTAGGGTTTGCGGTTTAAGGTTTGGGCTCATTGAAGTCTAGCATTTCGGAGGTTTAGAGTTCGAAAGGTCGCAGGATCATCCGAACCTTACTCCTCTCCTTCTTTCCTACCACAAGAAGCATCATCTCGTCCTCCGGCTTCAGAGCGCTCAATCGCCACCATCATCATCAGCAACTCCATCACCATCACCATCCTCCTCCTCTTCCTCCTCCTCCTCATCGTCATCATCGTGGTTTAGGGTTTAGGGTTTAGGGTTTAGGGTTTCTCGCCTCCATCATCTTCACTCTCGTTTTCTGGCTGTTCCCTCTCTACTTCGGTCCCAGGGTAGCTGAGACCTTCGATCTGATGCTCTTTAACTTGGCACCCCGAGTGCCGAACTTGCTTCAGAGGGTTTAGGGTTTAGGGTTTAGGGTTTAGGGTTTAGGGTTTAGGGGGAAAGCCTCAACCCCATGCCCCAAAACCTCCAACATCTGAAGTCGTGAAGTCTTAAACCTTCAAGCCCCGAAAGCCGTGAACTTGTTCAAAAAAATAGTCACAAGCACCCAGTTCATGGTAATGATGACTGTACTTATACCCATATTGGGGCACTTCAGGACCTCAGAAGTGGGTTACAAGTACAGTCATTAGTGAACAAGTACCCCTAAACCCTGAAAACCCTGAAAACCCTAAACCCTAAACCCTAAACCCTAATCCCTAAACCCTAAACCCTGGGTTATAAGTACAGCTACTATTGGTTCACGGGTACCATGAACCTCCAAGTAAAGAATCCCGACTGCAGAAGAAGAACCCTAAACCCTAAACCCTAAACCCTAAACCCTAAACCCTAAACCCTAAACCCTAACCCCCAAACCGGCCTTGGGAGAGGTTTAAGCTCGCGAGCTCGGAGCCACCCTCCTTGAAATGGGGGGTTTAGGGTTTAGGGTTTAGGGTTTAGGGTTTAGGGTTTAGGGTTTAGGGTTTAGGGTTTAGGGTTTAGGGTTTAGGGTTTAGGGAGGGCTTGAGGATTAGGAGCCACTCTCCTTCAAATGGTTTTGAGGGTTTGAGGATTCTAAGGGGTGAGGGTTTAGGCTCTCCTTCGAATGGTTTTTGAGGGTTTGAGGATTCTTAGGGGTTAGGGTTCTTAGGGTTTTTTGGGGTTCCTTCAAATGGTTCTGAAGGCTCTGGACTCTTAGGTTCAAATGGCTTTGAGGCTTTAGGATTCTTAGGGGTTAGGGTTCTTAGGGTTTAGGGTTCCGTCAATTGGTTCTGAGGGTTTTTTTGGGATTCTAAGGGGTTAGGGCTTTAGGTTTTTGGGGTTCTAGGTTCTTAGGGTTGAGGCTTCTAAGGGTGTAGGGCTTATGGTTTAGTATTGTAAGGGTTAAAGGGTTGAACATTTAGGATTCTAAGGGTTTCGACGTTTGGGGTTTACGGGGTTGAGGGTTGGGGAGCTTGTGGCTGCTGACATGCCTATACTCCCCTTAGAACCTTAACAAGAAGAATACTTTTTAATATACTCTTGGGTTTTATATGAACAAAAACAGGAAACTTTCAAATTCCCAAGGGGGATATAGATGCACCCGTGTCAGGGGGCCTTCTATTGATCCCAGTATTAAGGTTCCATGTTGGGGCCCCTTCGCAGGCAAGGGCGCCCAACTTGCCCACCGAACTACGCCGTAGGCCCCAAGTCTTTGTAGTGCATTTGTAGAAGGTTGATAGTTTCTTCTTCAAGCACTGCAAATATGAAGGTTTAGAGCTTAGGATTTTGGGTTCGGGCTGAGCGTCTTGCGTTTAGAGAGCTCAGACCTTGGCGTTTGGACTTTGGGATTAAGGTCTAGAGTTTAGGGCTTACAGATTGGGATGCTGCCCCTTTTTCTAACAGTCCTTAAAAGGAAGGATAACAGGGGGGGTACTAAAATCTCTTTGAAGGACTGCTAGAAGAAAGGGGGAGCGTCCCAAACCCTAAGCCCTAAGCCCTAAGCCCTAAGCCCTAAACCCTAAACCCTAAACCCGGGACCCTAAACCCTAAACCCTAAACCCTAAACCCTAAACCCAAGGTCGAAGGTTTGGAAGGCCGTGGATTCGGGTCAAACTTCGAGGCTTAGGGCATAGGGTCATCCCTAGAAGCCTAGTGTTTCTGCTCTATACCTATCTGTTGGGATGTCCCCCCTCGTACTAACAGCCCCTAACAGGGATGATAGTAGCCCTACGATAATCCCGATGAAGGACTGTTAGCGGAAGGGGGAACATCCCAATCTATACCTATCTTCCGAAGCTCCAAACAGTGTACTTCCGAATCAGCAGTTGAGGGTTTCGACCCAACCTCCTGAATCAAAACCCCGAAGCTTCAATACTCGCGTCTTGAGGGGGTGACAGGGGAATTCCCAAACCCTACAATGGCCCTACAAAGAACCCCGCATTAAACATCCCAATGCCGTAAGCCCCCCCCTCAAACAAAGGGGTGCCTCGCAGATGACCCCGCTGGGGCACTCCAGACATTCAGAAGCCAACCTCTCCTCGGCACATCGCTGGCGTTTTGATTGCCCTTATAAGGAAGAATGTTGTTGGTTTTTTGGGGTTCTTAAGCAAATTGGTAGGTTCTAAGAGTCAAAAGCCCAACTCCGAACGAGCTTCGTAGAAACCGCGGCGACAGCTGCAGGCGAAAGCGGGATCGCTGCGCTGGCTATTTGCCGGGCACGGGCGCGCGCCAGCTTCACAGAGGAGGCAGCTTTCATTGGTCGACTTCCAAACCTTGTACCTGAAAGGTGCCTACTTGGGGCTCCTTTATGCTTGAAGGGTGTTTATAGAAGGTTCTTTGAAATTGAAGGGTGCAGGCTTATATGGGGGCGAGCTAAAGCTATACAAGGGCTTAATTGGCACTTTTGCAATACGGCTGCGCGAAGGTTCTTGTCATCGGGACTGCCTGATACGGCGCTCCTGCTTTCCGAAACTCCCCTAAACCCTAACCCTAAGCCCTCATTGGGACTTTATGAGGTAGGTTTCAAGGGGGGTTCATGGGTTTGGGTAGTAAGAAAGGAACCCAGAAACACCTCCGACCCTAAACCCTCTAAACGCGAACTTTATGAAAAAAACCTCGCAACCCCAACCCACTTTAAGCGGCTAGACCCACCCAAGAAGCTTCTCGATCCCTTCAAGGGATATATATATATATATAAATACAAACAGAAATATAAGTATAAACATATATATATGTATATATTTATGTGTGTATATATATATAAATACAAATATACATATAAATATAAATACAAATAAACAAATGTAAATATAAATATATATATATATATGGTCACCCCCCCCCCCCCCCCCCCCCTACGACAGACCCCGGAATTGTATTTCCAGTCTGTCCAGGAAGGGGGCGGAAGACCAAAACTCCAAAATTCCTCGAGTTTCCAGTTTCCAAAAATCCAAAAAACCCAACCCAAGTTTCGGATTTTTGGAAACTCGAGCGGGGGCCTCAAAATCCGAAAATCGAGCTCCCGTTCGAGTTTCCAAAAATCCAAAAATGCCAACCCAAGTTTCGGATTTTTGGAAACTCGAGCGGGAGCCTGTCTGTCCAGGGGAAGGGGGCGGGAGACCCACAATCCCAAATTCCTCGAGTTTCCAAAAATCCAAAGTTTCGGATTTTTGGAAACTCGAGCGGGAGCCCCAAAATCCAAAATTCGAGCTCCCGTTCGAGTTTCCAAAAACCCAAACCTTGGGGTGGAGTTTTTGGATTTTTGGAATTTCGGAAACTCGAGCGGGAGCTCGATTTTTGGATTTTGGAGTTCCCGCTCGATTCTCCAAAAATCCAAACCTTGGGGTGTATATCTTGGATTTTTGGAATTTCGGAAACTCGACCGGGAGCTCCATTTTTGGATTTTGGCGTTCCCGCTCGAGTTTCCAAAAATCCAAACCTTGGGGTGGATACTTTGGACTTTTGGTTTGGATTTTTGGAAACTCGAGCGGGAGCCCCAAATCCAAGAATCGAGCTCCCGATCGAGTTTCCGAAATTCCAAAAGTCCAAAATATCCACCCCAAGGTTCGGATTTTTGGATATGGGAGCCGCATTTATGGGTTATGTTTTACCTTTAGGACAAATGAGTTTATGAGGAGTTACAGTAATTACAAATTTATTATCTCCATTTCCATCTTTAATTGAATGGCTTTGTGGAGGACATTATATGTACAATCCAACATTAAAGAGGTTCTTTGTCCTTCTTTTTCTATTTCCATTTATTCTTTGTGCTTTTCTTCGTTTTCATATTGTTAAGCTACATTTTCTATCTTCTAATAATCCTTTAAGGAATTCCACTAATAATAAAATATCATTTTCCTTTCATTATTAGTAAAGATTTCTATGGAAAGATATTAATTCGCTATGTATATCTTCTTTAAATTCATTTCGGCTCGTCTTCTTTCTCGCATCCAGATAATGCATTCGAAGCATGTGGATTACTTACTCCTTTACATATAGTACCTGAATGGTATTTCTTATGCCAATATGCTATGTTAAAAGCTGTACCAAATAAAAATGCAGGATTCATTATCTTATTTACTTCTATCTTCATCCTATTTTACTTTATGAGAAGTCTTTCAATGTCATTCTATTTTAGAATTAAGACGTCCAGTAGATTTAATGGCGTTTATCTGTGCTTTTGGTTTCTTCCTCTTTTTTCCTTTATTTGGATAGGTGGTCAATTACCTGTAGACAACTTTCTATCTTATGGTCGTATCTTGACATTACATTATTATCTTCTTATTTTCTGGTTTGCTGCGTTCACACCTTAATTATAATATGCGTGCGGTTTTATAAGGGAGAGAATAACACTGGAGATTGAGCGCTCTTTCATCAGTATCTTGACATCATGACTTCCATTCCTTAAGTTCTATTAGTATTAATATTATTCCGGAAGGTAAGCACAGGGAAGTGAGCACATTTTATTTTGTATTTCAATGAACGTAGTGAAGCGAGAATACAATTAAGAGGTGGGAACGAAGAAGCGATGGAAAATATGATTGTAACTGCTATAACTTTATTGGTTAAATCCTGTGAACACCTTGTCCTTGGTTTTTCCTTGCAATATTTTCCTTATCTGCATGCTTTATTATATATTTCTTATGCTTTATTATCATTTCCAAGTTTATTTCGTATTCTGATTAATTGTATTTCTTTTGGCCCACAATTATAATTCGATTGTTTATTGTTTTCTCTTTTTCCTTTATCTTTTTCGTTTCTTTATTCTCTTCTTTTTAATTAGGAAAGCGAGCGTGAAAGCACTCAATAAATGCATGACATTACGAATATTATTATTAATATTATGATTATTATTAATACCTTTGTTTCGCTTCCGGGGTCTGTCGTAGGGGGGTGGGAGCATATATATATATATATATATATAGCTCGCCACCCCCCCAAGATCTACGTTTACAGGTTTCCAGAACCCAAAAAAGGTCAAAAACGCCAAAATCAGGATGCTAAAAAGCCCAAACCAAAAAAAAACAAAACCAAAAAAAAACAAGAAACCATTATTCTGAGACTCTTGGACAGGTGAAACCAAAACAACCCAAACCAAAAAACCAAAACAAAAAAAAACCTATTATTTTCGAACTCTTGACGACACGGGGTGATGATTCCCTTTGTCCAAAAGTCTCGGATTACAGGTTATTTTGGTTGTTTTTGCTTTTGTTTTTTTTTTGGTTTGGGTTTTTTGGTTTTTGGGGTTTTTTTTGGTTTCCAAGAGTCTCAGAAAAATGGTTATTTTGGTTCTGTTAGTTTTTTTGGTTTGTGGGTTTTTGGTTTGTATGATTTTGTGTTTCTCTTGTGGAGAAATAGTGCGTGCCCAAAACCTAGGGAAATACTGTGCTTTTTCAGATGCATAGTGCCTGTACTAGGCAAATATTGAACAATACTATACGAAAGAGGCCGAGTGCACTATCCTAGTTTTGTTCACTCATAGAATATCTATTCCCGAAACGCAGCGGACATATTTTACTACGGAACCAATGATTACTACAACAGTAGGCCCCCCCTTGTGGTCGGGGGCGGTGCCTTGAGTTGCAGGCATTGCCCTGCATGCCAAGGGGATACTGTTGGAGTTTGTGCAGCCAAAAGGGGATTAGCTGAACTTGCTTTTTCCCTTAGTCTTGCTGCCGGCGCGTGTGTGCGTGTTTGGTACGACCACCCCGCACCCCAAGCCCTGTCTCCGAGCCAATGCCCCCAGCTTAGTACCTTTGTGAGGGATCGCAAGGGAAGAGTTTCTGTTCCTGTGAAGTGGGCTGTCTTGCCTAAGTGCCCAAATCCAACCCAAGCCGCCCGGCTTGGGGGGGCGGGCCCATGGAGGTTCGGGTGGCGTTTTTCCCAGCTCGGATTGAGGGGCTCGGAGCCGAACTCTTGCCGGATCTCCCCAATGACGCAAGCAGAGGGGGGAAGAGATGGCGGGAGGGAACGTTTCCGTTGGCCGGAGTGCACCCCAGGCCGTCCACTCACTCACTCACTATAACAGTTGGCTGATAACATTGTTATGGTTAGTGGTAGGAATTATCCTACTATTGGCTGTTCTTGTTGTATGAGAGAAAGAGACCCTTTCCTGGGAATCCTGAAAGAAGCCCCGTCAGACCCAGTGTTGACACGTGCAGCTCAGCACGTATTTGTTTACGAAGACAACAGTAAAAACAACACACAAAAAAAGAGTTCTCGAGGTGATAAGAGCAAAACTGCTATACCTTCCAGGTTTTTTGGCTTTCGGAGTATAGAAGGTCACATAATCTTAAACCGAAATTCGGTTGCAGATGTATAGACATTTTGCATGCATGATGTGTTACGTAAAAAAAGTCACGGAAAATACTCGACAAGTACGATTTTATCGGTATTTACAGTGTTTTCGGCGTGCACTACTTGTTCACAAGTGCGTGGAAGCAAGCAGAAGAGTAGTGTAGACAATGAGGGTGTAGATCTTGGGGGGGGGGGGGGGTGACCATGTATATATATATATATACATATATATATATATATAAGGGGCCCCAATTCCCTCATTCCCTACGAAGAACAAGGGGGGGAAACACCCAGTAAGGGAACATATGAAATGTCCTTCTCAAGAAAGCCCAAGGAGCCAGTCTGTCGGACATGGTCGGGCGGCTGGTAACGGGTAATTGAAGGGAGCATCAGCATACTCTGGTGGGAAGAGTACCTTAGTTGTTGTTTAGGGGTTAGCAGGCAGTTCCGAGGCCTAAACCCTAAACCCTAAACCCTAAACCCTGAACCCTGAACTCTGAACCCGAACGCTCGAAAGGTTGCCAGGGAGTCAGGGGCTCACGGATGGTTACTTGCAAGTAGAGCTATAGATGTCCCAAACCGGTTTGTGTGCAAATATACTGGTTACGTTGCTTCTAGGCCCAAAGATGTACCCATGATCCTTCAAGGTACCGACAGCGTTTCACTGTCCTTGATGGTGGATGTAGGCGGGGGCATACCATTGATCTGGCCCCACTGGTTGAAGGCAGCAGGTCCAGCGAAGGTGTTGCCGAAAGATTCACCAGAGAGCATCAAGTCCCTCACGGCCAAATAGACATCCTCAGCTTTTGGCCCCAACCCTAGACCCTAAACCCCCCCAACCCGAAGCTCCTTCTCCAAATCGTCGGCGTTAGTGTGTAGAGTCTGGAGTCTAGGATCAGTTGAGACTCGAGCCAGAAACACTTAACAAAAAACACCCTTGTAAACCTACATCTTACAAAACTGCTAAAAGAGAAGCCTAAACAACCCAAAACCCCGAAACCAAAACACACAAAAGCCTCAACACTCCAATCCCAAAACCTTCTGCGCTCCTCTTGGCTTAGCCTCGGGATCCAGCGCGGAGTGGAGCAAGTTCGTCGGATCCTTCACCTCTCGAAACCTTGGCTTTAGGGTTTTGGGGTTGGGATGTTCTCCCCTTATACTAACGGGACTACAGGGGTACAATAATCCCTATTAAGGACTGCTAGTATAAGGCGGAAGGAACATCCCAACTTGGGGGTTTAGACTTTCGGGTTTTAACGGCTTGATGAGGCATTTAGGGTTGGTAAGCTTGTCTACATGTATCAGGACCTCAAACGGATTTGTAGGGGTTCCAGGGTCTTGAAGAGGTGCGAGGCAAGGTTTTGGGGTGTTGGGTTTGGGATTTCGGGGTTCGGGGTACAGGGTTTCGCTTGGTAGCCCAGTAACCAGATCACAATAAGGGTACGTTTTTTTTTGGGGTTGGGCACTTTATAAGGGAGCCTTCTGGAACCAACAGTAAAGGCAAAAGAAGGGGCACCACAGGGCTACCAAGTTCGGGTCAGGTTTCAAGACGGCGGTTTGCGACTTCGGGGTTTGGGCAGGGGGGGTTTAGGGTTCAGGGCTTTGGGGGTCTGGGGGGTTCGAGCTTAGGCTTCGGGCTTTGGGAGGTTTCGGGTCTGGGGTCAAGGGTTCAGGGTTCAGGGTTTAGGGCTCAAGGTTTGGGGTTTGGGGTTCAGGGCTTCGGGTCTCAAAGAAGCGAAGCTTCTGGTGCCTTTTTGGTTCCGAGTCTCTCTTGGAGTTGGTAGCTTAAGACACCCTAGACACCTTCTTGAACCCGTGCTGAGGCCGAGGTTAGAAAAGGGGGAACATCCCAACCTAAACCCCCGAAACCCTCAGCGACAAAGGGAGTTACCCTTCTCAGAGAAGGCACTGAAAGACGGTCTGAACTGCCTGCAAGAAGGCCGACAAGCCCACCTTCGAGTCCAAGCTTCGGCCCAAACTTAGGGGGTTTCGGGCTTAGGGCTTGGAAACCACCCTTAAACCCTAAAGGAAAACCCTAAACCCTACACCTGAAACCCTACAACTCACCCTGAAACGCTCAACCCTGAATAAAGCCCGCAAGTTCAATTCTTAAACCCTAATACTAAGCTGTATTAATTGGGATGTTCCCGCCTAAACCAACAGTCCTTAATAGGGATGATGGTACAACATCCCAATCTATGAACAAGAAAGCTCTAACACCTGTATAAACCCGCTCCGAAACCCTTATTAAAAAAAAAAACCTCTGGAACCACTCTGCAACCCTCTACAAACCCACCTCCGGATCATAGCTGGGCTCAGTTCCCAGGAGTGCTCCATACTCCAAGCCATTTAAGCCTTGCTGTAGGGGCCCATCAACAAGAGGTTCATAGGGTTTAGGGGTTTAGGGGTTTCGGGTTTAGGGTTTAGGGGATCTTGGTGTTTTGGGTTTGGGGTCTTGGGGTCTCGGGTTTAGGGTTTTGGGCTGTGCAAGGCAACATCGGCGCCAACAATACCATACCATCTGGTCTGCGCCACGCTTGTTCGCCCTCTGCCCAACGAGTGTATGTTTGCAGCTTCGGGCTTCCCAACCCCATGTAGGGATGTTGGATGTTACTTGGGATGTTCCCCTGATGCTGGCAGCTCCTTAGTAGGGATTAGAATAGGGGATACCAAGATACGATCATCCCTATTCAGTATACTACCCCACCCCCCCGCCCCCCCCGCCCCCCCCGCCTCAAAATCCCTGTAAGAGCCTCATGTTCAGATGCTGGTTTTGGCTCCTGTATTGGTCTTTCGGTGAAATCAAGGTTCAAATCTAGGTCGAGGTTTCGGATGTTCGGGTTTAGGACTCGTAGTCTAGAGTTTGGGATGTGCACCCTTATACTAACAGTCAGTCCTTAACAAGGATGATAATGAGTACTAGAATAGTACTATAATCCCTGTTAGTATAAGGGGGAAAATCCCAATCTAGAGTGCCACATTCGGGTTTAGGTCGGGGTTTCGGGACTCACGGTTAAGGACTCCGGTTGACCTAAAGACATAGCTAAAGGCCACTTGCTCGAGTACTGGGAAGCCGATGACGCCGTCGCGAACCACATGGGTGATCTGCGGAAATACGAATGGCTGGGCACCTAGGAAGCTCGGATCTCAAATCCTTGAGTTTAACTGCGAGCCTTAGTGGGTCGAACGGGTCTGTTTATGTTCCTTGAAGGGAGTAGTATTGTTAGAGCAGGGTTGTGGGGAATCTTTTGCTATCACCCTGAAAGAACTATCCAATGTATTCAAGCCCCTTGTAGTAGAAAGCTTCTTAGGAGTTGCAGTTTTAGAGGCTTTAGGGTTGTAGGGCCGAGAAGGCCGAACGCTTATGGTTCAGGGCCGACGCCCGAAGGCGGTAGGGCAAGTTTAGGGCTATTTCCGGGGCGTAAGGCCTAAGGTGCAGTTGGGGAGGTTGGAGGTTTCGGATTTTGGGCATTGCAAATATGCTCCCGGGGCTTTCGGGCCATGGGTGCTTAGGGTTTAGGGTTTAGAAGTTTCCGAGTTTGGGGTTTGGGATGTCGGGTGGTAGGGTGAAAGGTGTAGAAAACCTGGGTTTCGGAAGCTTCGGGCTTGGTGCTTCGAGGCTTCATCCAGAGCCTCCCCCAAAAAACCTGAAACAGGAACATGCCTCAGACCACCAAAAGAGCCCCGATGGCCCGAAGGTCTAAGATAGCCCATATAGCTTCAGGCACAGCCAGGGTGCAGATGTTATCCGGGTCTTTCTTTTTTTTAAAGGTTATCTGCGTCTTTTGGTTTTGGGTTGTCTGCGTTTCTTTTTTTCCCGTTTTTTTGGGTTATCTGCGTCTTTTTACTCTGGTTTTCCTGCAGGGCATCACACATTTTGGGATTCCACAGAGGGTTATCCGCGTCTTTTTTTTAAAAGGGTAATCTGCGTCTTTTTCAGGGTTTGGGGTTTAGGGCTTAGGGTTTAGGGGTTTAGGGTTTAGGGGTTAGGGTTTTGGCAGGGGTAGGGGTCAGGGTTTGTTTTGAAGGGTTTAGGGTTTAGGGTCGTGGGTTAGGGTTTGTTTTGGGGGGCTTAGGGTTTAGGGTCGTGGGTTTTAGGTTTAGGGTTTAGGGGTCTTGGGGTGGGTTTGGGGGTTAGGGTTTATAGGGTTTAGGGTATAGGGTTTTAGGTTTAGGGTTTAGGGGTTTTAGAGTTTTGGGGATTTAGGGTTTAGGGTCTAGGGTTTCAGGGATTAGGGTTGTGTTTTTTAGGGTTTAGGGTTTAGGGTTTAATCAGGGTTCAGGGTTTAGGATTAGGATTTAGGGTTTTTAGGGTTTAGGGATTTAGGGTTTAGGGTGTAAGGTTGGGCTCAGGGTGTTTAGGGTTTAAGGTTTAGGGTTTAATTAGGGTTCAGGGTTTAGGGTTTAGGGTTCAAGGTTTAGGGTTTAGGGTTTTTTTGGGGGGGTTTCGGGTTGAGGGTCGTGTGTTTTGGATTTACGTAGGGTTTAGGGGTTTAAACGTTTAGGAGGGTTTAGGGGTTGGGGGTTAGGGCTTTTAGGGTTCAGGGTATAGGGTTTAGGGTTTTAGGTTTAGGGTTTAGGGTTTTAGGGTTGAGGGTTAGGTTTAGGTTTGTGTTTTTTAGGGTTTAGGGTTTAGGGTGTAAGGTTGGGCTTTAGGTTGTTAAGGGTTCAGGGCTTAGGGTTTTACGTCGGGAGTATTCTTTAGGGTTTGGTTTAGGGCTTAGGGTGTAAGGTTGGAAGTTAGGGTGTTTCGGGTTTAGGGTTTCGGGGGTTTCGCTTGGGGGTTAGGGTGTTTAGGCTTTAGGGTATAGGGTTTCGGGTTTTAGGTTTAAGGTTTAGGGTTTTTAGGTTTTAGGGTTTAGGGTTTAGGGCTCCCTGGTATCTGGGAGGAAGCCAATGTGTAAGGTTGGGCTTTAGGGTGTTTAGGGTTTAAGGTTTAGGGGTTAATTAGGGTTTAGGGTTTGGGGTGTAAGGTTGGACTTTAGGGTGTTTAGGGTTTAGGGTTTAAGGTTTAGGGTTTGGGGTTTAGGGTTTGTTTTGGGGGAACAAAACGACACGGATAACGCCAAAAAAAGACACAGGTAACGCCAAAAGAAAACACACAGATGACGACCACAAACACACCCGAGGCAGCTGTTCCTCGAGACATCCGAAAAAACAGCGACAAAAAAGACACAGGTAACGCAAAATAAAAAACACAGATAACGCGAAAAAAAAACACGGATCACCCCCTTTCCCACATCCAGTGATTAAGGGGTTTGTAATCTCCCTGAACCCTCAACCCGAAAAACCAAACCCTGAACCCTAAACCCTCAACCCTGAACCCCAAACCCCAAACCCTAAACCCTGAACCATGTGGTGCCTGTGAGGATGTGGCTGCACGTCTCGCCCAAGCCGAAGCATCGAATCCCATCTCGCAACCAAGGGAGATTCACCGCAAAGATTCCCGCGGGCACGTACCTGGTAACCAGCAGTTTTTGGGGGCCTAAAGTTTAGGGTTCTTGAGGATCCCAATATCGGGGCCTTAGTAGCCTAGAATAGGGGTTTGGTGTAGATTAGATCTTGATTGTAGCCCTAAACCCTAAACCCTTACTCGACTAAAGGACCCCTGATCCATGAAACTGACAGTTCTTCAGGCCCGTATATCATATACATATATCATATAATATAATATAATCTAATATATATACATATATATATATATATATATATATATATATATATATATTTTTAACACCTATGGCACAACTTATCTCTTTCATCCCTCGTTGCACTGCATCCCTGGGTGGGAAGCCCCAAACTCCCCCCATGCAAAAATGCTGCCACCGCAAATCCGCCGGCGCCTGAAACAATGGTAACTTTACGTCTTTACGGCTCTTGGGGTTTAGGGCTTTTAAGGCGCCCTATAGTCAGTTCAATACCATTCTGCAAGACTTCGATCTGGATCCCTAGCTTCATGACCAGCCTTCCTAGTTAAGCCACAAAGCTGCAGCAACATGTGATCTACAACGAAAGAGACTTACTGGCCCAAAACCCAAGGAAATAAAAGTTGAAACTTTCAGAATAAACTACCTTATAAGAAGCCCAAAAGTTGAAAAGTTGGGTTTTACGCCAGTAAGGAGATCGCGCAGAAAGGTCAAAGGCCGAAGGGAGAGGACTGTGCTGACCAGGAGCCCTCCATTAGTTGGAATTTGGCGAAGATCCGAGGAGCCAAAACCCTCGAGGGCAAAACCGCCACAGCCCTAATCCGAAGATGTGTGAAAGCACCATGAAGCCCGGCAGCCCTACAACGCAAAAGGGCTGAGCCGAGAGCCTTTCACAAACACTTCGCAACGCAGAAGGAGCTCACATAAACCTATGCAGCCCTACTAGGGGGAGGCCCCCCCCCCCCCCCCCCCCCCCCCCCCCCCCGCCAAAAAAAAAACATCGTAGGATTCTTTTATCGCAAGGACCCCAAGAAGGCACCCCTAATCTCGGAAACCCCCAGTAAGAGGTTCGGGCGAGGCTCTGGTGTCGATGAGCTTCCATGCCGTCCAGAAACAGTTGGAAAACACCCGTGGTCCTTGCTTGAAAGGTTTCTCTTGCCACCCGCAAAGCAGTCCAGCTTGAAAGGGTTTGGGGTTTAGGGTCTAGAGACAAACCCAGAGGCTTCGTACAGGGGTTTCTTGTTTTAGCAGGTCTTCTGTACTGAGGGGCTGAATACCCTAGCCCAAGTAAGGTTAACCTTGTACAGTAGGATTCTATATCATAGCCAAAAAGGTTAAAGGCTACCTACCCAGTCCCCAAGCACACCAAGAAGCAGGCTGGTCAGCACGACGTCCACTCTCGTAGCGATGACCCAGTCGATAGCATCTTCGAGCACGGTCATGTTGTCCTGCACCTCAAACGCCTTTCGGGCAAAACTCTGATCCGGGGTCTAGTGAAGGGCTTACGGTCGGATATAGCTCCTCAATCATTAGAATGGGATTGGGGATATATGATTTAAAACAATACAGTCAGGAGCCCTTAGCAATAGTATGACTAGTATATTCCGACCCCTGTAGTCTTAGGGCTGAGGGCTGAGAGGGTAGGCCTCAGGGCCGAGGGGTTGTAGTTTGGAGTTTTTTGGTTTGGGGGGTTAGGGTTTCCGGGCTGGCGAAGCAGCATCGGTGTAGGTGGACTTGGGATGAAAAGAACACGGAGAAAGAACAGGAAGCAGAAGAAGACTTGATACAGTTACACCCAACCCCCTGTAGCCCCAACCTCTACTTCAAGAAATACGCAAATCCCAAAACCGAGAAAGCAGTACGAGTCTGAAGGTTCTTCCGGTTCAGCCCTAGACGCCAGACCTTAAACCGCCAAGGCCTGATGACCCTAAGGCATTCAGGCTTTAGGGTTTCGGGGTTAGGGTTCAGGGTTAAGGTTTAGGGTAGGGTTTTGGGGTTAGGGCTCAGATTGGGGCGCTGGGGGGCTTGGGTGTTTGTAGCTTAGGGTCCCGTCTGTGTTTGTGCAGCACCCCCCGCCTTTATCACTTCAAAGCCGTTCGCAGCCAGGTGCTGCAAGGCCCCTTGTCCAACGCCGCTGAAGAAGGTGTTGGTGCCTTGCTTCCCCTACATCCCCTCAGGGCTTAAGAGGGTTTTCTTGTTTTGTGAGGACCGTGTAGCATTTTGGTCGGGTTAGGTAAGGATTCTGATAAGGATTCAGACAGAATCTGTACGAGGTTTATACAGGCACCCCCTGTATCCAACAGCATGATTCGCCTCTGTCAGAAAGCCGAAGAAGAAAGCGAGCAAAAAGGTGCTACTTGGAGGTCATGGTACTTATTAACCATCTATAGTTCCACTTACAAGCCGCTTAAGTGCCCTAATATGGTCATAAGCACAGTTAAACTTGGTAAAAAGTACCATGAACCTCCAAGCATGATCCTCCAAGCAACTTGAAGACCAAAGGAACTAACCCTAAACCCTAAACCCTACTTGAAGACCGGGGAGCAGCACCAATAAATCACTGCCGCCGTTTTTGCCCCTTTCAGCGCATATTGTTGGACTGCCATCCTGGCTCAGCACCCAGGCGCCCCTTGAAACTGTTTAGGGTTTAGGGTTTAAGTTTTAGGGTTTAGGGTCGCAACGAAGCCTCAAACGTGCCCTCGAAACCTCGCACCCTCAATGTCCTAAGTCTGCAGCATTAAACCCGGCAACCGCAGAGAAAACCCGAGATTTGGAGATTCAGAGTTCTCCGGGTTTCGGTCTCTTCTGCTGGGCACCCTGAAGCCCCAAACTGCAGCACCCTCATCTTCGGGCGAACTCTCTCCCCTCTTAAGGTTTATAATTTTTGAACTGATCAAATATCGCGAAACATTAGGATCGCCACCGCACACACATCAAACAACATGTTGCTGATTCGAAGCGTTCCTGCTCGACCCGAAATCGGGGTATTCAACGATAAGACTCGTATTTCAGTGGTGTCTAGGAACCTCGACGCACCCTACCCAGAGAGACTTCGCAGATTTCGTTCGGGAATATGCCTTACTCCCTAAACCCTAAACCCTCAACCTATACCCTAACTTCAGGATCCCCCTTTGAGTAGGCAGAGAGCCCGTCTTACACCTGAGTTGTGGACTCGACCCCCTAAAACGCATGATGAAGCCCTCTGCAATGTCAGGTCCATGCCGAAATGCAGGGGTATTGCGGCCCCTTGAGCCCCTGCAAGCCCCAGCAAAAAACCTTGCGAACTAACACCTCCGCCAAGCAAACGGAGCAAGCTGGAAACTTTTAGGGGGCAGCCTGTAGCGCCTGTACTGCTCAAACATTTTATCTACACCAAACCTGACTCTAAACCCTGAACCCGAAAAGCTTGACTAAACCCTAACCCGGCAACTCAAGAGAACACGAGAGGGACCGAAGAGATAAGAAGGACAACCACACACACACAACGTTCAAGCTACCCTAACTCCAAATCCCTATGCCCCAAACGAACCCTTTTGCAACTGGGCTTGAGGACTAGCCAGATCCGAGCTCCCTAGTCGAACCCTAGCCCCTACACCCTGAACCCTTTTGCTTGTTTGGGACTCCGGGAGTAGTCCCAGGAGTCGAGGTGGCTGCTGAATGCCCAGGGCAGGGGTCCGCCTGAAGGAAGGAGGTTATAGGATTCATGAGGGTGCAGGGTTGTTTTTGCCGCGCCCATGCATAGCTGGACGGACCGATAATGAAAAAGTGCTTACATGTGAAAAGTAACAAAAAAGCAAAAAAAAAACAAAGAAAGATATGGTTCCCCCCCCCCCCCATATGCCCACACTTTTTCCTCTCAGGTGCCATGGTAGGGTTTAGAGGATTAGGATTTCGAAGCCTCCTAGGGCAGCGAGCACGAAAGGGCTCTACTGTACCAATGTTTTAGGCCCAAAAGAGCAAAAACGCTGTACTGTCCCAATAAAACCAATCTTAAAGCGAAAACAAGCAAAAATGCTGTACTGCGACCAAAAAAACCCAAAAAAAAAACCAAAGTTTGGAGACCTCCAGGCCCTGGAGGAGCCCAAGCTCTCCAAACTTTGGTTTTTTTTTGTGTTTTTGGGACAGTACAGCATTTTTGCACCTTTGTGCTCTAAAAAGCTTGGTTTTTTTGGGACAGTACAGCACTTTGGAGGCCTGGGACTGCAAAAATGCCGTACTGTCCCAAAAAAACCAATGTTTTTCAGCCAAACCGAGCAAAAATGCTGTACTGTCCAAAAAAAACCAAAAAAACCAAAGTTTGGAGAGCTTGGGCGTCTCCAGGGCCTGGAGGTCTCAAAACTTTGTTTTTTTTTTGGCTTTTTGGGACAGTACAGCATTTTTGCAGTTTTTGCCCTAAAAAGATTGGTTCTTTTGGGACAGTACAGCACTTTGGCGGCCTGGGACTGAAAAAAACGCTATACTGTCCCAAAAACAACCATCTTTTAAGCGGATTAACATTATTTTATACAGGAGTCCTATTGGTTCCTATCCATTTTAGTAAGATTCCTTCTCATTTTAACAGGATTCCTATGAATTATAACCGGTTCTTTTCAATTTGGAAAGGGTTCCTATTCATTTTAATCGGCTCCCTACTAACTTTTATCGGTTCCGAAATTTTTGGCAGGATTCCTATGACTTCAACGGAGGATTCCTATTTGTTTTTATAGGATTCCAATAAAGTTTCATGGGGTTCCTAATTATTCTAATGAGGCTCCTACTAATGCAATAAGATTCCTATCAATTCTAGGGTCCTTATTCATGTTAATGGGATTCGTATTAATTTTAATGGGGATCTCATTCGTTTGAAAGGGACTCGTATTGGTTTAGGCTCATATTCATTTAGTAGGATTCCTATTAACAGGTTCTTGTTAAAGGAATCTTATTTTGTTCATGGGAGCCCTATTGGTTCCTATTAATCTTAATCAGAATCCTTCTCATTTTGGTAAGATTCCTATGAATTACCACCGCGTTCTTTTTGATTTGTTAAGGTTCATTCTAATAGGCTTCCTATTAGCTGTTATCCGAAAACAATTTGATAGGAATCCTATGAATTCAATGAAAGATTCATACTTATTTTCATAGGATGCCAATAAAGTTTCATAGGGTTCCTAATTATTTTAATAAGGCTCTGATAGGGTTCCTATTCATGTTAATAGGCTTCCTATTAACTTTTTATACAGTCCGATCAATTTTAATAGGGTTCCTATGGATGTAAATAGAGGATTCCTATTTTTCTGTTGATAAGATTCCAATAAATTTTCATAGTTTGCCTAATTATCTTAATAAGTCTCCTACAAATGTAGTATGATTCCTATCAATTTTGAATGGGATTCTGTTCCCATTGAATTTAATGGAATTAAGGGTTCTCATTCATGTTAAAGGGTTTCCTTTTCATTTTGATAAGATTCCCATTAAAACAAAATGAATCCTATGAACCCCATTAAATTTGATAGGCTCGCTATTCACATGCATAGGATTTCTATTTAGATTCATAGCATGCAATCCACAATCTCGAGCAAAGTGTTGAGGTCACTTCTGCTAGAGTCTTTATGGGAGTCCCTCCCCCCTTTAAAACCCACCGCGCATGGTGGCTCGTAGTGCTTTTATCTGGAAACCATGCTGAAGCGTGGGACCATGGGGGGGTATATATGTGTATATATATATATATGTGCGATGGTGCTTTTTAACTCCCGGACGTTTAAACAGATAAAACAGATACCGCATACTACCTCCGAGGCAGTTGTCAAAAGGGCCTGCTGGGGCTTGGGGGGAGGGCTGGAGAGTTGGAAGGGCCCTAAGCCCTCCCTTTTAAACCTCAGCCTAAGCCCCTTAAACCCTCCTTCCCTAAGCCCTCCAACCAAAACCCTCCAACCCTAAGCCCTCCAACCCTAAGCCCGGTTGGAGGGTTGGAGGGTGGGAAGAGCCTTAGGGCCGGAGGGTTGGGCCTCCACAAGGGGGCCTTAGGTTTGGAGGGGCCTTAGGGGTTGGGAGTTGGAACCCTCCAAAGGTCGAACCCCCCCAGCCAGACATTGAAACATCCGGAATAAAGCTGGTGCCCCATACCACCTCCGAGTGGATTTGTGGTATAACCTGAATTGTTGTCACCGTACACATACATATATTATGATTATGATGATGATGATGATGATGATGATGATTATTATTGTTTTTTTCTTTTGGTCTGTTTGCTTCTGGATTTGTGGGTGTTGCTCTAGTTTTTGGGGATTGAAGTGTAGGGCCGGATGCCTTAGAGTTTCGGACGATGCAGGGTTCAGGATGCCCGCATTGGCACGTCTATGGTTGTATTCCTTATGAGCTTTGGATTTCGGGCTTGGGGTTTAAGGGCTTCCTTAGGCTCGAGGTGGGCTTTCAGAAATCGGCTGACGGATGATTTCATGGTTTGAGGTGTTCAGGCAGCTGTAGGAGTGCTTGTCTGGTGAGGACGCGGGCTTCAAAAGCGTGTGGTGACTTCGGTGATTGTGGTTTAGGCCGTCGGTTGCTGAGGGACTACGGGTGCAGGGAATTTGGGAGGGCTTGGGGTTCAGGGCGCAAGAGGGGGCAACAGTCCTCTCGGCATGAATACACTATTCAACCCGGCAAGGGTCGAAGTATCAGGATGACTCGGCAAGACCGGCAAACCCCTTGCTGGGGCTTAGGGCTCGGGGAGTTTAGGGCTTTAGGGTTTTTTCCTAGGGTCTTGAGGTTAGGGTTAAGGGCTTATTCAGACTGTAGGGTTTCGGGTCTGGCTGACAATCGGACAGGAGCATTTCACCAAAACTTTGGGGAAGCCTGTGTCTGGTAGATGAAGCCTCAACCACCCCGACCCCCTTTCATCACCACAAAGACCCTTCTCCCCAAAGCGGAGCACCACACTGTCTTCAATCCCGTCCGATACGAGGGCTTAGGGAGCTTTACGTAGCTTCCTCTTTTTCCAAGGTGACGTGTGCCGTGCGTAAGCACAGTGCGCTTGCCTGTGGATCTGGACATCTGGCTCCATGGGCCCCTCGGAGTCATCCAGATCCTCTCCGTTGCATTGGCCACCTGCAAGGCGGGGGAGGATGTAGAGGGGCCCTCTTATGGTTGGAGCAGGGCCTTTAAGGGCGTAAGATGCGAGTGTATGTGTAGATGGACTGCAAGAGGATGAAACGCGTGATTCAGACAGCTTATGTTCCGTTAAGAACTTCTGTAGAGTCTAGGGTTTACAACAAGCAGTCGTACTCCATTCAAATTGCATCGTCATCCCCAATCCCAAAACCCTACCCCTGAACCCCTCATAAACCCTTATGGAACTTTACAGAGGCCCTAGCTGAACCCAAGCCTGCTAACGCCTAAGCCCTCAACGCCAAACCCTAAGCCCCGAACCCTAAACCCTATGGCCCTAAACCCTGTGGCCCTAAACCCTAAACCCTAAGCCCTAAGCCCTAAGCCCTAAGCCCTAAGCCCTAAGCCCTAAGCCCTAAGCCCTAAGCCCTAAGCCCTAAGCCCTAAGCCCTAAGCCCTAAGCCCTAAGCCCTAAACCCAACCCCATCCTTGGCTTGCTCCACCACGTGAAAGTCATTGCAGCCGTTTCCAATGCCAGGGATGAAGGACCAGGAAGGAAAGTGCTGAAAGCTCAGAGCCTCCCAGGGCTGTTTAGGTGCCTCTATAAGGGCTTAGGGCCTCTTTAGGGTTTGGGGTTTAGCGCCTCTTTAGGGTTTAGGGTTTAGGGTTTAGGGTCTCTGTAGGGTTTAGTCCCACACTCTCGCACCAGGCCGGCAAGGTCCGTCGGTCTGAGCTGGCACTTAAGGACTACGGGAGTTCATGTCAAGCAGTCGTACGGGCCCAAAGGAGTTTAGGGTTTAGGGGCTCAGAGCCTCCCAGGGCTACAAGGTGCTTCTGTAAGGTTCGACAGTAAAGGGTTGTGTAAGGGCTCTAGAAGGCTTCCATGAGGACCTTTAGGGTCTATTTGGCTCTGTGCTTGGCTGTGACTTCATTAAAATTAAGGAATTTTGCATTTTACAGGTGGACTAAACACCACCTAATAAGGCTCAATAAGGTTAAAGAGTGCTTTTTACTCGTACTTTCTCTGCTTTGAAATGGGCAACCCTCCAAAAAGCCTGCAAGTCTATAAGCCCTACACGAGTATGAACGACGGGGGACTGCCAAATGGACCCTGAAGGTCCAGGCCACTCTTTAAGGCGATATGGGTTCTAGAAGATTCTAGACGTTTGCTATAAGGCCAAGGGCTTCCAAGGTTCAGGCATTTGGGTCTTCAGGCTGCTAAACTCCGGAACTCTGATTCTACAGTCTGGATTCACATTTGGGGGGCCAAAAAGCCCAAAACTCTTATCGGTTTCTGGGATGGCCCTTAGAACCCTCTGAAAAAAAACATTCCCAAGTATGATCCTCTTAAACCCAATATAAGGGAAAATCAAAAAAATGTCCCAAGGGCCTACCTAGGTCGTTTTGGGCCGTAGCTGGGAGCTTTGGGCCATGAGGGCTGCATGGTTTAGTATGGGGATTGGGAGGTGTTCCCTTCTACTGACAGCCCTTAATGGGGATTCTAGTACCCCCAAGTATCATCGTTGTTAAGGACTGTTAGCACTAGGTCCTCATCAAGCATGTATAAACAGCCTTCGGTAACACACTCTCCATGCGTCGGAATATACCATAAATCTAACACTAAACCACGCCTATAAGAATTAAGGAAGACTCCTGAATTAAGGGGCATTGGGCTCTTGGGCAACCCGTCCTCTCCCTGCGTCCAGTTGTCTTCGTCGAAGGTCAGGCGGGTGTAGTTTAGTCGGTAGTAGTGCTTCCTTGGCTTTGGGTTCCTGGTTGGATTTGGGCCTTTGTCGGTCTTTCGGGGTCGATAGCGTGCAGAAACCCCCTATGGTTTTAGGGTCTGATATTTGTCTGAATGAGGCAACCCGAAAACCCAAATCCTACACTCTACACCCCAAAGAACACCCTAACCCCGAAACCGCAGGCCCTGAGCGCGTCAAGCGCTCTGCCTGTGCGGTAATCGATGCCGGAGGTTCGGATACGGCGTCGATTGTGCGATCTCCAAGCCAGCAGGGTGGACCAGGATGCCTCTAGCATGGACTGGGTTGTTTCAAGAGAAACGAAACTGGGGGGGGGGGGGGGGGCTTTGAAGGAAAAAGGGCTCAATCAGGGTTTTAGAGGGCGTCTGGAAGTCAGGGTGTTTTGGGGATACTTGGGAGGCACGTCTGTGACTCCCCACTCTGGGCGCGTTTCGGCTTTGCAGCCTCGGGTTTTAGATGACCCTCAGCCCGAAGCCCTCAGGGTTTAGTTGCGAGGGAGTCAGACTTTTCCAGACTTTTCCAAGAGGGAACGGCAATCCGGCTTGCGTCAGAAGCCTGCTGATGCACCCCAATGCCCGAAATCGCTTCGGGTGAGTAGGATTTATCTGGTAGTTTAGTCGCTCACGCTCGGACAAGCCAGGCGAGGCACACACACTTTCTCAGAGTCTCTATCTTTAAAGCCATTTGGGCCCTGGTGACACTCTCAACTCTCACTTGGCGATACTGACAGAACACAGGATACGCACTACATGGACGACAAGCCTACTCTCCCTCAGTACATGTCACACTTCACGCACACCCAACATCAGCAGCTATTTTCAGTTTAGGGTTTCGGATTAGCAACCGTGAACACTTCTTAGGGGCCCGTAGAAAAAGATATCACAATTCGTCGAAACCCAACAGCCCTTATTCTCGAGTCTAAGCACGAAGATCCCTGTACTAAGCCTTGGGAGCAACCATCACAATGACCGTCATGGGCCCCCTTCGCGGGAGCTCAAAAAACACACGCTTTTCGATTCTTAAAGAACACCCTTTTCGGCGAGTTGATATATCATAAAGCCCCAATATACACTTTTCTACAAACCTATATAACACCCTATCGTTCATCTTTTCCAACCCTAAACCCTAAACCCTAAACCCTATACCCTAAACCCTAAACCCTAAACCCTAACCCTAAACCCCAGACCCTCCACCGCCTCGTCCTCCATTCAGGCTGTTCACTGCATCGATGTACGGCCCCAATGCCCTCCCGTCGCAGTCCTTCGCTGCCCGGGGACCCCGACGTTGTCGGGTTTGGGGTTTTGCTCCTCCCTGCTTCTTAGGGTGGGGGGGTTAGGGTTTAGGGTTTTTAGGGTTTAGGGTTTAGGGTTTAGGTTTAGGGTTTAGGGGGTTTAGGGTTTAGGTTTAGGGTTTAGGGTTTAGGGTTTAGGGTTTAGGGTTTAGGGTTTAGGGTTTAGGGGTTGAGGGTTGAGGGTTGAGGGTTGAGGGTTGAGGGTTGAGGGTTGAGGGTTGAGGGTTGAGGGTTGAGGGTTGAGGGTTGAGGGTTGAGGGTTGAGGGTTGAGGGTATAGGGTTTAGGGTTTAGGGTATAGGGTTTAGGGTTTAGAGTTTAAAGCTTTGGGTTTGGGTTTGGGGTTGACCGTTTCTTTTTCTTCGAGGGTCTAGAGGGTTTAGGCGGTTTAGGTGTACGCCCCAACAAGAAAACCCTACAGCCTAAACCCAGCTAAACCCAGCCCCCCCCCCCCCCCCAACACCGCACAAAAACCCCAATTCCCTGAACCCCGCACCCTAAAACCTCTAAACCTCTGAAACCCGCCCCATGCCCAAAATCCTTGTACAAGCCCTACACTCCCCTCCAAAAACGCTTCTGCACAGGCTTGTCCCAGCGCGCCTGGTCGAGGTCGTCGCTCTCGTAAACCCTAAACCGGCAACATGCAACATGAGCATCTACCAAGAAACTCGCAAAGACTCCCATTCCGCCACTGAGGGCTATGTGGCTCCCTGCGAGCCCTGCAAACCTCAACTCCCTCAAGCCCTATGCAAAAAAAAACCAGGGACGAAACCCCATCTAAACCCCCCGCCAAAACCCTAAATCCCTATAAGCCCTATATCCCCCTGAAAGGGCCCCAGAGAAAAAGAGGCAAGCGAAAGCGTCGTTCTCGATCATGGCCCGGTCATCGCGGTCGAAGCCAGAGCCGGTCCGATCCCTGAACTCGAAGACGCTCCCGATTTGCAGGTAGCAGGGCTCCTTCTCTGAGAAGTGGTTCTTAGGGTTTCAGGGCTTTTTTGGGCTTTGTAGGGTGTAGGGCGTTAGGATATTAGGATGCTCGGACTTTTGGGTCTTTAGGGTCCAGGTTGCTCCGAGGATTTCGGGTCTATAAACACCACTCAATCCAGCAATCCAGGAATAAACCTGAAATTGAAGGGGCATTACGATTTGGGGCCATTCGTCTGGCTTGGACAGGGTCTTACAGACGGACTCCAACAGCTTTATGCAGGGTTCCGATTCCCAGAGGCAGAGGTCTCGAAAACTAAGTTGCCAGGGGCTGGAACTCCTACCAACCTTAAACTTGGGATGTACCCCCTTGTCCCCCGTTTTCCTCGCAGTCCTTACATAGGATTACTGTACCCTGGATTACAGTCCCTAGTAAGGACTGTAAGTACGGCCAGGATTTCTGGAGCTCCAACATGACAACTTAGTGCTGCCGTGATCGTGTTCGGGGGGGGGGTGGGGGAGGGGGAAGGCTCTATGACCATAAGCCGCAAACCCGAAAGCCGGAAAACCAACTACGACCCTCAAGCCCTCATGCCCTGCGACCCGAAACCATCTAAAACCCTAAAGCCCTAAAGCCCTAAAGCCCTAAAGCCCCAAAACCACCTAAAACCCTAAAACCCTAAAACCATAACGCCCTAAAACCCTAAAACCCTAAAGCCCTAAAGGCCTAGCAAACCCCCAAAACCCTAAACTCCATGACCCACATCCCGGAGAAGCTTCCCTGCCCAAGGCTCGGTCGCATCCCGGGTGCAGGGAGGGGCCGCCCCGGCGAGCAGCCGAAGGGCCACAAAGAGGCTGCAACGCAGCATGGGCTTGCCACATCCGGTGCACCCCCCCCTAAATTCCCCCCTCAAATCTTGATGCCCAAAATCACAAAGCCCTAGTGACTCATCACTCATCGCAAGCCCCAAGCAGAGCGACCCAACGTAAGTTTGAGGTGTCGGACCTGCTTCCCTTGGCGTTTTCCCGCGGGGGGTCTGGAGCCAGACTTTTCGGGTTCTTGTGCGCTTTTTTTTTGGGTGAGCTTTGGGCTTAGGCCTCTCGGAATCAGGGTGTAGGGGTTTCTGCTCTAGGAGGGCTCGGAGCATACAGAACTTAGGAGGTTTTGGGGATCAAGAGCTGTTTCGGGGGGCTCTGAGTCGACCGTCTTCCGTGTTCCCCTGTCCCCTGCACTCAAAAAAACCCTCAAAACCGCAATCCGGGCCTAATCCCAACTCCAAGCCCGAAGATTTGGACCCTTACTGCAATCCTTCCTAAGGCCCTTCGGCAACAACTGTCGACAGAAGCTCAATGTCCAACCCGAGCATCGCATGGTGACTGCAGGCATCGCAGCGTAGGACCAAGGCCAAACGAACGCATGGTACAGTCGGTACTACAAAAATTGTTTAATTTTGAATTCTTAGTATTGCTTTATGTTCTTACTATTATACAGTACATCCTGGGCCAGTCCTGCTCTGCTTACAGGCCACGCAAAGTGATGAGCGACAGATCCCAGCCCAGGGACACAAGCTAACTTTTTGCAGCTCCCCAGCAGAGTCTTCACACTCCATTGGGCTTGCGTCACTTCAGCAGATGAACCTGGGATCTCTACTCTCCGGATCTTCTTATCATTCTTTTGGTTTTTCCTCTCTCTCTTCTTCTTCTTCTTCTTCTTCTTCTTCTTCTTCTTCTGAGCGTCTCTCTCTCTCTCTCTCACTCGCGTCTGCTCTGGCTCTGCACTGAGGTGTTGAGTTTCGGGATGCATCCACACCAACATGCAAGAGCCGTCATTCCTAAAGTCACAGTTTGCCGCGCACGGAGTCTGGCACACCACTTAGCACCTGCACACTAGCTTGAAAGGATCAGATTCTCAAAGACATCCAAAGACCACAATAACAACACAAGTACCCACCCCCCCCCCCCCCCCCGCTTTCCCAAACCAAAAAATGTTGGGTACCTCCCCACTCCACCCAATATTCTTGTTGTGTACACTCCTACAATCAGTCTGGGGGGGGGGGGGGGAGCATCTTTCTTGAGGGCGCTGCTAAGGTGCTGACATCGACTGTCGTTGTAGTCTTCGTTTTCTGGCCCCCCTGAACTGGTTCGTAGGGAATGATTGCGTTCCCTTCCCTGGCCCTTCACGAAGGTGGAAAAAATGGCATCCGGTTGCACCGAGAAACCCAAGTCGCCGATTCCAGGAGCTATGAAAAGAAGAATAAACAAGGACCCGACAGAAAGTGTGCACTGATGAATGATGAAAGTGGTTCCTGTTGAGGGGACCCGAGGTCGGGGTCATGTTTTCGTGAGATGCAGAGAACGTGCGTTTACTCGCTAGGATGTTGGGGGAAACTTATTGGGTTTCGACGAGCCTCAAGTTGTTGTGCAGATGTTCCGTAACGTCAGCAAAGGTTGTTGGGATTGTATAAAGAAGCACTTGTTTACAATGAGAGCTGCCGCGGAAACGTGTGGATTCGGAAACTGGGAGAAAGGTGACTCGGGAAACTGGACATGCCCAACACAGTGTATGACTGCTCATCAAGATTATACAGTCATGCACTGTGCCCAACTTGCAGAACCAGGTGCTGCTTCATCTCGTCGTTTGCGGCTGCATGCTGCTTCGCCCGATCAAGCCTGGGGCGGCGACGTGCAATGAAGCTTGGCCGCCACGCTTGCACGTTGTCAATGCGCCTGGACTCAGCTGCTTTGCTGAGCTAACCACCGCCGCAACAGTGGCCGGACTGCTTACCGGTGAAGCTGAGATGTATGTTGCCTTTCGCCAGAGCTGAAGGCAGTAGACGTCTTTGATGTCGGATTAAGGCCGAGCCTAGCCAAGCATGGCGCAACCTGCGAACGCTTTGCCTGATGGCTCGGATGATTCAACCAATGCTGATCCCACAACCGTCGTAATGAGTGGTCGCAGGACTGTCACAGAATAGTACAGCAAAGCAAACTCACAAGAACAAGCGTTTGCTGCTGGCGGCCTGTCTGCTATCCATCTCCCAAAGACGTGCCCTACACACTTTCCACACAGCTGCATGTGGCTCAGGTGAGGAAGGCAGCAGACATCGGAGGACGTGCGCGCTTGCACGATGTCAAGCTCCAGCGACGCAAAGAACATTTGGGCATTTGTGGCATTTTTGTGGCTGTGCAAACCGTGAACTACAAGTCATCTGCGCGTATACCCAAGCACACAACCCCCGACTGACTCACATGTGTGATGGAAGCAGATGCCCAACTGCTTCATTTCTTCGTTTGCGGCTGCACGCTGCTTCGCCCGACGCAATGAAACTTGGCCTGCATGCACGCTTGCACGATGTCAACGCGGCACTCGCAGTCTTGGGCGGGTGCGAAGACAACAAAGCAAACAGAAAGCCGGAGAATCGGCCACACGCTTGCGCCTACTTCTGAGGGCGGTGCGAGGACAAAGATAGCAAACAAATAGCCGGAGAATCGGCCACAGCAACACAAGACCCGGTCATTGCCAGGCAGGCACTAGCAACCAGCGCTCCACCGAGCTATATCGAAGTCGCATGGAAGGGAACTGGAGAACATGGCGCGATCTGCTTCGTTGAGCTGGCACGCCCACCGACGATGCTGATCCGATATCGCAACGACCGACATGTAACGGTGACTGGACTACGTACCAGTGAAGCCGAAATGGATGCACGTTGCCTTTCGCCAGAGCTGAAGGATAGCCAAGCATGGCGCCACCTGCTTCTTACCCGCTGACTCGCATGATTCAACCAACGCTGATGCCACCACCGTCGTGATGAGTGGTCACAGGACTGTCCCACAACACCAAGGCAAACTCACAAGCACAAGCGTTTGCTGCTGGTGCTGGACAGAAGACAGCCTTGCCAGCAGTAGACTGTGCAAGCTGCGACGGCCGTCGCGGCCTGTCTATCCCCCACAATGGCGTGTTGCCGTGAACTACAAGTCATCCAGAACACCCCCTACAACCTGGTCGCTGCGTTGATCTGCAGTCAGGCTGTGCCTGGCCAAACTCACTGACATGAATCAACTCCTGTGCGCAGGGACTTAAACTTTATGGTGGCGTCACCGATGCTGATCCCATACTGCAACCACCGCCAGTGAGGTGACCAGACTACCAGTGAAGCTGAAACGGCTGCATGTTGCCTTTCGCCAGAGCTGAAGGCAGTAGTCTTTGATGTCGGATTAAGGAATGCCGGGCATAGCCAAGCATGGCGCCACTTGCGTTTTCCCTGACGACTCGCATGATTCAACCAATGCTGACGCAGTCACAGGACTGTCACACAACAACACGGCAAACTCACAAGAACAAGCGTTTGGCTTGCCAACAATAGACTGTGCAAGCAGTGACTGCGACAGCGGTCTGAATGCTGTCCGTCTCCCGACAGCATGCGCCGCACACTTTTCCCACGCAGTTGCATGAGTTGCACGTGGCTTAGACGGGGGAAGGCAGCAGAAGTCGGTGGACATGTGTACTTGCACGACGTCAACTTTAAGCGACAGAGAGAACAGGCTGCGCACAAAAAAACAATGTACCCGGCTGGAAGCAGCCTCAAAGGTTAATGCGTTGCACGGTGGTGTCCACATAGGATCCCGTCGTGCATCATTCTATGTTCAGGGGCATGCTCCACGCACAGCGTGTGGCTACGGTCCCAACTTGCAGAAAAGGTGCTGCTTCATCTCTCCGTTTGCGCCTGCACACTGCTTCGCCCGATCAAGTGGCGAGAGCAGTGAAACTTGGCCGCCACGCACGCTTGCACGATGTCAACGCGCCGGGACTCGTTCTGGGCAGCAAACAACCGAAGCAACGAAACTTGAGCGAAAACAGCTCCTACAGCCCTGCAGTCAAACCCTGCGTGGAATCTGGGCCTGGAATGCCCTTAGCTGCTATGCGCACTCAGAGAACAGGCTCTACACATTTGTGGGCCGTGCAATCCGCGTACATGCCAGAACAGTCTTTCCCCGGCTGTCTCAAATGCGTGATGGAAGCAGCGTCAAGGGTTACTGCGTTGATCTCGGCAAGCCACACGCAGTGTGCCGAACATGCGCCCTGTGTGCATGGAACAGCCGCTTGCACTGATGGTGGCGTCCACACAGGATCCCGTCGTGCATCGTTCCATGTTCAGGGGCATGCTCCGCACATCGCGTGCGGCTACGGTGCCCAACTTGCAGACCGGGTGCTGCTCCGTCTCTGCATTTGTGGCTGCACACTGCTTCGCCCGATCAAGAGCATCGACTGTCTGCCGTGGCTGTGGTGGCGAGGGAAAGCACCAGCTGCAAAGAGAACAGTCCCACAAGTCTGCAGTCTGCGCGACCTGTGATTGGGAAACAGGCCATGCAAAGCTACCAGCTTTGTGAGCGAGGCTGGTGACTGCCAGCATGGCCGCAAGAAGGCGCGCAATGAACAGCTTCGAGACCCCTGCCGTTGAGCGAAAGGGAGGACCGACTTTTTCGACGTTCGGCGCAAGTCCACCGCCTCAGAGGTCATGGAAGGCCTGGAGCCCAGGCCACAAGCGCGGCACCTGAATTTGCTGAATTTGCTAGCGTGTGAAGTTTTAACAGGCGATGCACAACTAGCAGCTTGGTGAGCAATGCCGGTGAAGGGCAGCGTGCATGGCTGAAGTCTTTTGAGATCGCCCGCCTCTCACAGTGCATGTTCAAAGACCAGTGTCTGCACGCGCTGTAGCATTCCAGCTGTGCAGTCATGCCGTCATGAAAACTGCGCAGATGTCCTGAGCCATGTGGCGAGATGGGTGTTTGAAATTCAGACACAGGACCCTGCGTCCGCCTTGCGCCATAGGTGTCGTGGTCACGTGTGGGAGGCTCAGGCTCACCAGGATTTCGCAGGGTCGTCACATGTGCCAGATCCTCTTCAGTCATGGCCATGCCGGAAGGAGGGATTGCGCTTGGCATGCGTGACTGGTCACCATCAATCGTATACAAACGCTTTTCTGCATGCAACCTGCGTCACCCGAACAAGCCACGCAAACCCATCAGAAGCGACCGTTTGCGGCACTGCGGGTGGTGTGGGAAGGCGCCAGCTGCGCAGAGAACAGGCTCAGCTTGAGTTGCCGCACGGGTTTACTCTTTTCAGATCGTTCATCTCGGGCAGTGCATCTTCAAAGGCATGCTCCGCACATTGCTAATGGCTACACGCGCTGCAGAAATTCAGCCGTGCAGTCATACCGTCACGAAACCTGCGCAGATGTCGTGAGCCATGTGTCCAGATGGGTGATTGAAACTTAGAGACAGGACCCAGCGCCCGATAGGTGCTGCTTCATCTCTCCGTTTGCGCCTGCACGCTGCTTCGCCCGATCAAGCGCGAGCGCAGTGAAACTTGGCCGCCACGCACGCTTGCACGATGTCAACGCGCCGGGACTCGTTCTGGGCAGCAAACAACCGAAGCAACGAAACTTGAGCGAAAACAGCTCCTGCAGCCCTGCAGTCAAACCCTGCGTGGAATCTGGGCCTGGAATGCCCGGAGCTGCCAACATATGAGAACGTCACTCTCCTATAGGCCTGGAATGCCAAGGGCCGGGTCTATGCAAACCCTCGCGTCTTAGACCCGGTGAGCATGAGCCTGGGGCTACCTCGCTCGGGTAAACCCCGTAAGTTCACGAGCATCGACCGCTGTGGTTGTGGCTGTGGTGAGGGAAAGCGAAAGAAGAGAGCATGCCCGTCTGCTCGAACTTTGATGACAGGATGTCGCAGGACCGCAGTCGAGTTCACAAGGCAGGTGCTGTGTGCATTGTCAGCAGCCGCCGTAGGCGTAGCCCGCCTTGGCGAATGCACGGGATGCCAACATGCGATCGGGTGTTGCAGACGGCGCCCTGTGTCCATCTTGCCATGGAGGTGTTACCCCAACTCTCCCTACCCAAGCGTTTGCCGTTGCCCCCAACGAAAGACTGCGAACATGCAGGTCTAACAATCCATTCACGAGACCACATGGAGTGCGAGCAACACGAGCATGTCCCATGAACACTACAAGCTTTGTGACGTATTGCTAGACGGTGGCTTCGGTGATCAGGGAAACAACCAGCTGCGAAAAAACTCTCGCTCTCTCTCTGCCGTTGCGTCCAGAGGGTCTAGCAGCGAAAGGCAACGTACGCGGCTTAGCCCTTAGCTGCGAAAGAATTGGCCCCACATGGCCCACATATTGCAACCTCGCAAACTTTCCTTGCACGTAGCTGTTGCCTACATGGACGAATGCACGGAATGCGAACCTGTGACCGGGTGTTGCAAACGGCACATGGTGTCGTTTTTGCACAGGTGGTGATTCTCCACCCATCTACACAAGTGATGTTTCCACCGAGGATTTGTGATGCGCTGCTAGTGGTTGCCGTGGCTTGGATGGTCAGGGAAAGCCCCAGCTGCGAAGAAACAGGCCAAACACTCTTTCGGACTATATGATTCCAGGATATTTTTGTGGCCCGCGAGCTTTCCAAGCAAATAGCCGCTGCCTACAGGGACGACGGTACAGAATGCGAACATTCGACTGGGCGTTGCAAACGGTACGCTGTGTCATTTTTGCAGGCGTGGTGTTGCTCCACCTCTCCACACGTTACCCGCAAAATGGCAGCTGGTTGGCAAGTGATGCAGGACAACACAGCGGACCCAAGCGACTGCCGACTGAAAAAATGCAGGATGTTGCAGGGGTGCAACCTCGGAAACTTTCCTGGCACGTAGCCGCTGCCTGCATCGACGAATGTACGGGATGCGAACCTTCGACCGGGTGTTGCAAACGGCTCGCTGTGCGCGCGTGATGTTTCCTTCGATGAAAGACCGTGAACTCACGAGACATGGCCTACGGTGGGAGGACGAGACGCTGACTGCGCAGAGAACAGGCTGTGCAACGTTGCCAGCCTTGTGACGCGCTGCTAGTGGTTTCCGTGGCTGCGAAGAAACTGCTTCTGAGGGGGGCGCAAACCGAAGCAAATTTCAGTCACAGCGAAAACCACGTTTGGGCGAAAACCCTGTACCTCAAGAACTTAGTCGTGCCTTCATCTGCAGCGTGCCAACAAAGTGTCCTGTGCCTCTCATGCGGCTAGCCATGTGCTGTGCAGCAAATAGCCCGAAACGCCCACAAAATGGCAACATAGCGGGTAGGACCCACACGTGTGCGGACTGTGAGCGAAAGGATGTTGCAGGAGTGCTGCCCCGCAAACTTTCTTGGTCCGTGGCCGCTGCCTGCATCGACGAATGTACAGAATGCGAACCTTCCACCGGGTGTTGCAAACGGCACGCTGTGAGGGTGTGATGTTTCCTTCGATGAAAGACCGTGAACTCACGAGACATGAGTATCTCCTCCGGTGGGAGGACGGGATGCTAACTGCAGGCTGTGCAACATTACCAGCTTTGTGACGTGCTGCTGGTGGTTGCTGTGGCTTCGGTGGTCAGGCAAAGCAGCAGCTGCGAAGAAACCCACCCCACACGTCGCCTACTTCTGCGGGCAGCGCAAACCGAAGCATATTTCAGGCACTGGCAAAACCATGTTTGGGCGAAAACCTGGGACCTCAAGAACTTGGTAGTGCCATCAGGCAAAGAGTGACGTGCGCCTGTCATGTGTGCTGGTGATGGCAGCATGCATTGCTGGATTTCGTTGAGATTGCCCGTCTCAGGTCACTCTGCCTTTAAAGCCAAGCTCTGCACACAGCTCGTCGCGGCCTGTGCAGAACAGTTTCAGCTGCGATGAAACCTAGGCAAATGTCGTTAGCCACTTGTCGACATGGGTTTTCAGCACTCAGACACAGGACCCTGTGCCCGCCTTGCGCCACATTTGCGGCATGTCTGCATTTGTTGATGCACGCTGCTTCGCCCGAATAAGCCGCGACAGCTCATCAGAACCGACCATTTGCATGGCTATGGGTGGCAAGGGAAGGCATCAGCTGCGCAGAGCACAGGCTCAGCATGAGTGGATCTGACTAGGACCGCCCATCTTGAATCGGGGCGCAAAACCCAGCCTGCGCTGTGGAAGTTCAGCTGCGCAAGTCAACACAATCATGATCAGTCAGGAAACCCAAGCAGATGTTGCGAGTGATCTGTCGACATGGGAATCAGCCTTCAGAGAGAGGACCTGCGTCCGCCTTGCACCACATGTTTGTGGATGCTTTGCCTGATAACTGCGGAATCTCCTTTGTCAACTGCTCTGTCCACTCCAGGACTCTGAGCTCACAGGCTGGGCCACGGCGAGGGATGGCACTGGCAAAGCGGCAGCAGAAGCCGTACCAAGAACCCCTGTTACAAAACTCAAACTGGTTCAGCTGTCCATCTCAAAACGCATGTACTACGGATACCATGTGGTGAATTGTTGCATTCACTCAAGGACTGTGAGCTCACAGGTGACGCCGGTTTGCTGTTATGGCGAGGGGCAGCATAGCCTGGCAGCGGAAGCCGTGCAAGTAGGAGCAACAGGTGGAAAAACTCAGATTCGTTCTGCCGTCAGTTTCAAGAAGCATGTGCTCCAAATGCCACGTGTGGCTGCTCGTTCAGCACAAACGGTTTCTACAGTGCTACGATCAAGCCCACCGTGCCCAACTTGCAGACCGGGTGCTGCTCCGTCTCTGCATGTGTGGCTGCACACTGCTTCGCCCGATCAAGCCAGAGAACAGCCCCACAAGACTGCAGTCTGCGCTGCGCGACCTGTGATGGGGAAACAGGCTATGCAAAGCTGCCAGCTTTTTTTGTGAGCAATGCTGGTGGCAGCCTGTGAAGTCTTTTGATAGCGTCTCGGGCAGTCCATCTTCAGAGGCATGCTCCGCACATTGCTAATGGCTACGTGCGTGGCGGAAACTCAGCCGTGCAGTCATACCGTCACAAAACCTGCGCAGATGTCGTGGGCCATGTGTCCAGATGGGTGATTGAAATTCAGAGACAGGACCCTGCGCCCGCCTTGCTCCGCAAGTGTTGCGGCATGTCTGCATTTGTTGATGCACGCTGCTTCGCCCGAATAAGCCGCGACAGCTCATCAGAACCGACCATTTGCATGGCTATGGGTGGCAAGGGAAGGCATCAGCTGCGCAGAGCACAGGCTCAGCATGAGTGGATCTGACTAGGACCGCCCATCTTGAATCGGGGCGCAAAACCCAGCCTGCGCTGTGGAAGTTCAGCTGCGCAAGTCAACACAATCATGATCAGTCAGGAAACCCAAGCAGATGTTGCGAGTGATCTGTCGACATGGGAATCAGCCTTCAGAGAGAGGACCTGCGTCCGCCTTGCACCACATGTTTGTGGATGCTTTTCTGCCTGCTGGAAACCGCAGGATGTGCATGTGAACTGCTGCATCTGCTCAAGAACTGCGAACTCACAAGCTATTGGTCGTGCTGGCTTGTGGTTGATGGCGGTGGCACTGGCTACCCTGGGACCCTGGCAGCGTAGGCGGTAA